TTACTTTCCAAAAGAAGATTTGCAATTTTTCCACGATGTCAGACTGACAGTGACAGTGAAAATGGGGATGAGCGTGTTAAGACGGCCTATTTCCAGAATGATTGACATTTAGTAGGACCACTTGTTTAGATGATCCACCTGGAAAAAGAACATCCTCCTCTATACCTTTAAAACATTTTCAGGGTAAAATAATAAACAGAGCTCATAAAGACCTATTTATGCCTCTTTTCCCTTCCTGCTAATACGCACAAAATTTAGACTTGTATGTGTGTGTTCATGTGGATGTAGCCTTAGCAACATTAGAAGTTTGCTTTTCTTTATGTACTGTCCTCTCACTGTCTCCTACGTAATGGTAAGATGTTACACAAGCAGCAACGCTTCCTGACTGCCTGTAGGTTAGTCCCTGATCTTTAGAATAGGTCATTTTGATGGAATAGAGGTGGGAGTTATAGATCAGTTGGAAGGATTGTTAATGTTAGCACTCTTCCATAATTTATGTAAAAGAAAATGGAGAACGACCCAACCTTGTGGACTTTCCACAACAACAAAGCCACTTTTACACTCTTTTACACACAATGTTTTAAACATTAAAACACATGTTTTAATATTTAAAAGTGGTAGATTTCTAGGTAATGACAGCTTGAAGAAGTTCTGCAGGTGTTTGATGGCTACTTATCAATTCAAATCAGTTGCATTTAAACAGGAAAATATTTAAATTATGTTTAAAATAAGCCTCTACTGCCCCATCCAAAGTTTATGCTTGTTGCATCTGGAGCAATAAAGTATTAGGGTTTTAGCATTGGCTAAGAACCATCCATCCATCCATTTTCTGACACGCTTTATCCTAAGTGGGGTCGCGAGGGGTGCTGGTGCCTATCTGCAGCTGTCTTATTTTATTTTAAAAAGATTTTCTATGCTTCCTGATATGTTTGGTGACAAATGTGGCAACTTTCTGAACAGGTGCATCAGTTCATACTGGAAATCATATAAATGTGTTTGAAACGATGACCTGACTGCCCTCCACTGTCACTTCCTCCAGCATGCAAGGATGTAAAAACGTAACAAGCAGGGTCAGAGTGCGGGGTGATAAGGCTGCACGCTATTTGCAGGAAATGCAGGGTAAAGACAAGGAAGTTGGAATATTTGAATGCTATAAAAGAAAGAGATCTCATTCATGCAACCTTGGATGTAAAAACATCTATTGCCGCCGGACCCACACCCAGTGTAACCCTGAGTTAATCATCAATCATGGTTTCCAGGAAGTCATGTGAAAGTATGCTGCTGCTTATAGAACATGGGAAAGCAGGCAGAGGTTAGATATGGAGCCAGGCTCACGGGGGCAAAGCTGACCGGAGGAACAATAAAGAACACACATTATCCATCCCAAGACTCTTCCTAGACGCCAACATGCAACTGTTGTCCAGCAGGAAAAGATGCCGTTGAGTGTCAGGACATTCAGTTGTGGGCCCGCTTCCTCTTCCTCCTGTCCAGAGTGTCTGCTGGGGCAGTCTAAAGAAAGATTTCCGTTCTTTGCTGTTGTCAAAGATTTTCTAGATGACATTTAAGTGGATTCCCCATCTCACAGAGTAATGGATGGATGCTCATCCGTGGTATTGGGAACTGTGGCAGGAACATTTTCAAACATGTAGACATCTTTAATTCGCATTCATTTATCTAAAGGTTGTCAAGTAACGTCCAGTGAGAGGGATGGAGACGGTGTGATTGTTTCTTTCTCCCATTCCTGCCAAAGTGGTCATTTGAGAAGCTTCTCTAAAGCAACCAGGAAAGTTGGTCATGTTAAAACACGCTCGGTCCTCTCCCTTCAGGACAGCCGCTGCTGATCCTGACAAGGCTGTATGCCCCAAATTCCCAAAAAGCTGTTGCTTTACATTTCAAACATTTCCCTCCTTCCCAGAAAGAGAACTTATAAACTAAATGGTTTTCCACACATGGATCACCATTAGGAGACCTTTAAACATTCTAGATAAAGAAAAAATAAAATGAAAAAATAAAAAAAGATTACCCTCCAACAAAGTTAGCTTACTAAACAGACAAAAGAGGCAGATTATATCAGATGATTTCATTCCATATAAACTTGGCTCAACGTGAAAATGATCTTAAATAATTGAATATTTAATAAGCCATATCCAGACCTGGTTACTGTCTCACCTGTACAGCCAAGAAATCCCTTAATGGATCTCTGACATCATGAAGCAGGCAGAAATATCCCAAAAAAGCAACACATAATGCCCTAAACCGAATATGTTTAAAAACAGATGAAAAACAGTGTGGAGAACCTTCCCAGGACAACTGAAGTACCTAAATTATTCCAACTGTCCAATGAAAGTCATCCAACTCACAGCAACTAAAGCTGGGCTTGGTTTTCCAAAGCAAAAATCAGGGTGAATGAATCAATGGAACCCAGCAGCGTATGGGAGTTATGAGGTTAAACCCATTGTTGCCTTAAAGGAATTTTCTAAAAACATGAACATGGAGACACTCAGACGGGGGAATAGGGGACCCTAACACTGCATATCACCCCTGAACACACCCACTCCTCAGTAAAACATGGCAGTGGTAGAATTATGCTTGGGAATGATTTTCTTTTTAATTGGAGAGTTCTATCAAATTTGGTATTTGTGTCAAGACTCTGCAGACCCTCTCCATTATGGATGATAAAATGCCACACTTTACAGATTTTGGGTTTATCTTGTCCAGTAAAATCCTGCTTAATAACATTTAAGTCTGAGGTTGCATTTGACAAAACGTGGAAGAGTTACTTGTGCAAGGCTTGGTGCAGCGCCTGGTGCAGCAAGAGGCTATGTGAGGAAATAGTGGGCAGAGATTACAGTTAAGAGCCTTATTATTATCTCTTTCATCCCTGGTTAAGACCACATAAGACCTGCTACTCCACAGGGAACACTTTTTGCCAGGCTCATCATATTCCTGCAGACAGAGGAAAATGCTTTAGAGGCACAGATATGCAGAGATTATATGATCCTGTGAGCGAAGCAGGAAATGCCCCTGTAAACCTACAAGCCCCTGCTGCCTGTCGAAGCAGGTTTATGTCTCAGAGGCACAGGAATAGGTGATGCAATAGTCATGGTAGGCTCATGTAAGAACTTGTTAGTTTCTTTGGAGAGCTTGAGGACAGCGCTGGAAAGTTAAAAGTATGTATGGAATAAAAGATTTATTCTCAACACTATTTGATTTTGCATCTATTTCACCTAGATCTTTCACATTTTCTAACTGTACAAACATTATTATACTTTATTGGGATTTCTTTTTGAGTATTTGTTCATCAAAAGATGGACAGGAAGGGCACACATGCAGCAAATGACCCTGGGCAGGAAGTCAAACCCAGGAAAGCTGCTTCAAAGTGTTAATGGATTGCATTTAAATACGGCTCTTCTAGTCATACCAGCTCTCAAACTGTTCAACACTAGAGCCCCATCTATCCAGTGACTCCTAACAGCAACGTTCATTCAGATACTAATAAATGTTGGAAACTCTGGCTTAACCTGGAATCCAACCTGCAACTTTCAGACTGCAAGAGAGCTAGTGTTCCCAGAAATCAACAGAGGTCTTTGTTGGGATTTTATGTAGTAGACAGAAACCTGGCATTATCATTTATCTTCTTAGTTGCCTTGTTGTTTAACCATATTTTAGATGAAGTTCAGCTGTAGATGTTTTTCAGGTTGTTTCTTGATGGAGAGCAACTTTGAACCATTTTTTAATTCTCATCAGGTTTTACTAAAGTAATAATTCAATTAATCAGTCAAAAAGTCATTGTCTTTGTGGATGCTGGACCTCGGCCTGTTTTTCAGTGTAGCCCTGTTTCTCTGACTGTGTTCTCTCTTCATCCTCTGAGATGGGAGCTGGCTTGAAGCTCGCCTCCCTGGCTGTGTGTTTCCTGGATGGGGCGCCTGTGGAGCTGGTTGACAGTTGCCTTTTGTATCCTTGCTTCTTTCTGTACGTCTGCTTTTATCTCCTTGGACACCAGTCGGCCTCGGCAGATGGCTGCTCACACCGTTCTGCTGGAGGTTTCTTCCTGTTTAAACGGAGTTGTTCCTCTCCTCTGTCACTACAAGCATGCTTAGTGTGAGGGATTGCAATCAACTGGTTTTCCTTAAATAGAAAACTTTGAATCTATTTGACAGGATGATCTGGTTGAATTATAAAGTGCCTTGAGTTGATCTTTGTTGTGAATTAGTGCTATATAAATAAACGTGAATCAGCAGCTAAAGAATAAGTTAATGAGAACACGTCTACTGGGATTCTGACAGGTTACCCCCTGAGCATGGTGCTTTCATTAACATGTTTAGATGTGCTGTTAGTTTCCCATCACATTCAGACTGCAGAGCAATGGTTCATTTTTAATCTACCGGTAATCTGATAAAACAGCTTCTTTACAGACCACAGCTTCCATGTTGTCCCTCTCCTTTCTTAGTCTGACCTATGATGAACACCTATAGATTTCCCTTATTTGATTGGTATCTATGCAGCTCCTATGGCTTCCATTAACTGTTTGGCTGCTTCACTGTATAAACCTCATGTTGCTCAATGTGTTATTTTGCTTCTTTTTTTTTGGCATGATTACGATGCACACAGCTGAGGATAGTTTTTAGATCCTAACCATGCTTTCAAATTCTCCACAACCTTATCCATGATCTGCTGGGCTTCGGTGTTAATGAATATGTCTATTCTTTAACAAACCTCTTGCCTTCACAGAACAGCTGGACGTCTACAAACGTAATAAACAGGAATCAAATCTATTTTTGAATTAGATTCCTTCCGAGTTTAGGGTAACAGAGCAATAGAGGCTAAAGAAATATATGTATAGATAAATGCTGAGAGGAGTTCTGTTAATGGGGACATTTTACTTTGATTCAACCATTAAATTCACCTTCCTTGCCTTAAACCAAACACTTCAGGAATTTGCTTTCACCTCCTAAAATCAGACTCATGGTGCAAAAACTGAGACATACATTTGATTGTACAATAAACCTTTAATAAATAGTTTATCATTAGTTTCCCGTATTTACATAATAACCACCGTTTACTTGCGTTGTCATACACATTTCTTGGCTAATTTTAGGCACACAGAGAAGGGGGTTCAGGCCACAAACCACGTTGTACTAAAAATAAAGAGTGGCTAATAACAGATACGCTTTTAGAAATATGTAACTGCATCATACGACCAAATGGGACCAAGATTGGGCCAGTTTCTCGAGCGACAAGTATATATTTACATTTGCTGCATGTACAGATGATCTTTGTACTTTTACTGTCGTCTGCTTAGAGTGTACATGGAGGCCAGTGCAGATTGTTAATTTAAATAGGATTGGGACACGAGTTTACCTTTCTGCTTCATCCAATAAAAGATGAATTTAGAAAGACTCTTAAGTCTCACTGGGCAAATAAAAATGGTGGCAGGCTCAGATAAGTTATGTGGTCAAAATGATGTGGAACATTCAGATATCAATCTGGTAAACACACAAATACACTCAGAACAGGGAAAAAAAAAATACAAAAACTGTGAAATGCTTGTTAAATGAAGACCAAGGCTGAAAAGATGAAGAGAGCTGATGCTTTACAGTGTAAGAAAAACAAAAGCAGGGAAAGTTCCCTATAAAGACTTAAAAAGCTTAAAAAAAAGACAGCATTTGAAGTTAAATCTCAGCAAAAGATATTAAGACAAATAAGAAACCAAGAAAATAATTGAAATTTTCAAGTGCATAAAGAGTACAAAAGAAGCAAAATCAAACAAATTTGGCACACATGTGAGCTGTAAGAGTTTTTAAACACAGGTTCACTATTAGAGGCATGATTAAGATATTTGAATTTTTCTGCAGAAAAACAAACATGGAAAAGTAAATAAAAACCTGTTGGGATTGCAATCCCTGCCCCAAAAACAACCAAACTACAATATAAGATGAACTGGATCGCCACCTGCAGGCCAAGTTGGGTTCTACAGCATCAACATGGATTTTAGTCTTAGAACGATGTTTTATAACAATGCCTCTAATTCTGTCTGTGTGTGGCTCACTGGGCTGCACGGACCACCATTATTGGAAAATTACATTTCCACAAAAAGTAAGAGGAAGGATTCAAAAAATCATTTGATTTGATGGAAATGCAGACCAGAAGAAAACAAAAAATAATTAATTTTAGTCAGAGTTAGTTTATATGTTGTTTGTTGGGGTTGACTGTGGTGTGGCAGGTTGAATTTGTTTCCCTTAAACTATATAAAAAAAAAAAAACAAAATAGCAAAGAGTTAAGATGGGATGGTTGGAAAAGTTTTGATGAACTGTGAAAAAACAAAAAACAAAACCTTAATTCAGCTTCAGTTAAGGTGCCAAAACAAGCAGCTGTGATGGAAATCTGTTTCAGAAGCAACTATCAAGACTGAAGGAGGGATAAAAGTGTAGGAAGAGAGGAGGTAGGATACCACTAAGGAGACAAGGAAGGAATCAAAGGAAGAACAGGAGGGAAAAGGTAAGAAACAGGGAAGTAAGGAAGAGTAAAGAAAGAAAAACAGCAAGAATGAAGAAGCGACAGAAAGACGAGGAAGTAATGTTTAAAAGCGGAAAATTCTTTAGATAGTTGGATAGGGAAAACATTACACAAAAGTTTTTCCATTGTTTTTATCTCTGACTAAAATCAGCCTTCATACTTAAAGAACCCTGTTAATAAGAGGATCCGCACAGCTAAAGGAAGGGATGCATGTTGGAGAAATCTACTTTAGTTGGCAGTTTAAAACATGAGATCAAATGAAACCGTCCGTTTTTAATCAATCCGTAGAAAAATCATCTCATCGGTTCAAAAAGGAAAAGAATCTCCTGCTGCAGCAGGATCACTGATATTCTCGTAAATCGTTTAATGATACCAACACCAGAAATATGGTGTTAAAAGTCAGTGTGGACACCGACTTGCTGATCGCTAGCTCTCATGGTGCTGATGCTTTTACAGTAAAAAAGAAAGGAGACAACAATGGGGCTCTTAATGCTGATCCATGTCATAAACCAAATCAGACAAGAAAGGGAGAAATGCGAGGAATAAAAAGTGTCCAACAACTCCGATGGGAGCGACAGAGTAGATTACAGAGCCTTCTCAGACCTTGGTCTTCATACAGGTTATGCAATGTTTATCTTTAACGGTAAGTCACTTCAAGGCATCGTTTGTGTCTTGAATTAAAAACTTGAAGCATAACTAGCCTTGGGTTTGCTCAGATAAAAATGTACAACCCAAACCGTACTATGAATCTAGAGAACTGCAGGTAAACATTGAAAAGAAAAAAAAAAAGACTTCAGCTAATGAAGTGGTCTCTTTCCTGCGCTTCTCTCTGTGAGAAGTCAGATATCTGAATAAATCTGTGGTCCTGACACCTTTCTGAACAGGTCGACCATCCCAGCGGATGTCAGGCAGCGGTTGTTCAGCCCTCCTCTTACAGCCTAAAGTCGCTGTGCACACACAGGAAGAACTGTGTTTCCCTTGCAGAAAACAGAGACAAGCGTTTGTACAGAAGTTAGCTTTTCAGTACGAGTGCCCTAGTGTTGGTTACACTCCGACTGGACAAAACCAATATCAAGACTCACACAGGTTTTTAGCAACATTTTAAATAAACAAAGCCTCTTGCACTTGACTGGGTTCAGCTCTGCTTCAGGAAGGGGCGACGTGCTGATGTGTTTTCCACTCTGATAGACCTGCAGAGAAAATGGCGTCCAGCTGAGCGGCATCTCTTTCACTCAAACCAAAAAATACTAATCAGAGATTCTTCAAACAGGCTCTTCAGAAAGTCCTCGTCAAACCCTGCCTTTAGACAAACTACGGCTTCATGGAGGACCCACTTTTGTGCTGTGGACATTTGAACAAACTCTCCACGGCACTCTGATGCGTCCTTGTGGTAAAACGTGTGCATCTGTCCATACTAAGGGTCTTTTTTAACGGGGTATGTGCCCCCATTAGCTGAGGTTATACGCTGCTGTCCTCCAGCAGCGGCTCCTTGCCCTCCGCTCCGCTGCCCTGAGGGCTGTGGGAATGACTCTGGGCTCCGTTGCTGTGCTTCTTATAGGCCCCGGGCCGCATGCCGGGCCCCGTGTGCTCCGGGATGAACAGGGCCACCAGCAGGGACAGCAGCACTGAGCACGCTCCGAAGAGAAAGGGAGGGCCGGGGATGATGGCACTCTGAAGAAAGCAGAAATAATAGAAATAAAAAAAACAATCTAATGTATCTTTTAAATATTTTTTAGGTCCTTTATTTTATTAAACTTAATTGACATTTTAAGCAACTAATGTTTTTAAAATGCAACTAACAGTTCTTAAAACCCACAGTTTTAAAACCAAGACAGTCAGGGTAGGATTGTTTTGTTGCTCTCCTAAATAGCTTTATTTGATTTGGTTGATTTATCAAAAGTACTACTTATATTTAGCCACCATTAAAGAAGGCTGGAGGTCTGTATGCCAGGAAATAAAAAGGGTAAATCTATGTCAAACAGACCATGAACTGCATTTGTTGGTGGGAAAAAGCTTTATAACCTATTATGCATATAAAGCATTAGTCTCACTCAGAATAATACTAGTCTTCCACCTGATCTCTCTTCTGAGGTTTTTCCGGCCCCAGGCTTACCTCGTCAGTGGGGTTGGCCATATTGGGTTTGGCTCCTTTATCTGAGCCTTCTGAGTCTGTCAGCTCAACATGGAACAAGTAGAAGACAAAGCCGTAAAGAGCCGGACCTAAACCGTTACAGAGACCTCGAATGCCAGTGATCATCCCCTGGACAACACCTGTAGAGACAACAAAACACAACTCATAATAAAACACAAACTAAAGACATTTCTATTTTTAATGCTTACTGTAAGGATCCAAAGGAAACAAACATTGAAAGGAAGGAAGGAAACTAAGGAAGGAAGCAAGGAAGGACGGAACAGATCCAGTATCAATATCTGTACTGTCTTGAGATTAAGGAAATTCTAAATCAGGTATGGGCAGATATACGTTTAGTCTATTTCTATAACAATTCTAAATTTGGTTAAAAATCTATTCAACAGCAAAAATATTTAACCCTTTATTTAACACTATTTTTATTGATTTTTTTCAGAATAAAATGTGTCCTCTTAACATGATTTACCATCTCTATAACTTCAGTGTCTGACATTAAACTAATCTGAGCCAATGCTCCTCTTAATATGCATGTGTAAATGTATATATATAATATTTAATTAAAGAATGGACTTTATGACAGCTCATTTAAAAAATCAGCAGTTATTATGATTACATTAAAGTAAACAGACTTAGCATTGGAAAATAATCATGTTCAACAGCAGATATCAAAATGGAAGTATTGGGATTGGATTGGTGCATCTCTGCACTAAAGAAATGGCAAAATGAGGACAAGGAGGGAGGGAGAACGCCCTGAAGGAAGGGTAACATTGACTGAAAGACGATTAATAAGGTCTAAAAACACTGAAATTTTCCTTCATTTTCTCTACTTATCCAGACATGGAAAGTACAGAAATAAAATTCCAGACATTTGCAGACTCGTTAAAAACACTGTATTCTTCAAGTTTTTGGTTTATTGTAAGTTTTAAAATCTAAACAGGGAAGGAATGAATGTTTGTTTGTTTACTTATAAGCATTTTCCAGCATGAGTGTTAACTGGAAAATTAGAACAAGTGCTGCTGTTATTTGCTGTAAACATAAGGCCAAGGACAGGAGGAAAGTCAAACATATCTGCCTTCTGACAGCAGAGACATCGGGAAACATTTAAATAATTCATAGAGAAGTATTCAGTAGCAAAACAAACAGGAAAACATTCCTCTGAGCGGGCAAATACAGAGAGTGACTTTGCACAAAGTAAAACTGAAGAAACTATAAATAACTGAAAGAAAACAACTGCTGAAGGCTACTGCTAATAAACAAGGCAAGAAAAGCATAAAACATGGTTTATCAAGAGAAATAACTTGAGGGACATTAAGATCTCTGACTACATGGTAGGACAGGGTGGTGAAGCTCACCTTGCTGGTCAGGGTCTGCGTTACGGGACACGATGGCGCTGATGGCTGGGAAGGTGATGCTGGACATGGCTGCAACGGCTCCAGCTGCCCACATCATCCTGCAGGTCATTTTGGGGACAAAACTTCCTTACTTCATTGTTACAAAGTTATTACAGAAAAGCTACATGGTCTCTTAGATTTTAAAAAAAAGAAAACAAAACAACAAGAGAACAACATCTAGACTCCACAGGTGGCTCCTCTATTTAAGGAAGTGGCACACACCTGTCTGCTGGTGTGTTTTCTAGAATTAAGGGGGGATCGTCTTAACAATTGTTTGACTTTCAGTGGAGTTATTTCCCATTTAAGGACCAAAACAACTAGAGACCGTATGACCAAGAAAAACACTAAACATGAAAAACAGCGTTTGTTTTTTTTTGGCCCAACCTGAAATAATAATTAAGTTTTAAATCAGAAAGATTTACCACTCAGGTGTTTCAAAAAAAAAAAAAAAAAAAACAAACATTCAAATATTACCACAGCTGTTCGCTTATTAGAATCTGCATGCCAATTTTAACAATATGCTTCCCTCTAGTGGTGTATCTGGGTAAATACAATAATTAGGTAATAACCATTATAACCTGCATGCAAATTCTCATTAAGCCATCCTAGAATGTTGGTGGAAACGATATTGTTTAAATTTAAATAACTGGTCAGTGTTTAAACAAAGATGTTATTAAATAGTTAACAAGTTAAACTTCAGCCATTTTAAACCTTGATCTACCAGAAGTAACAACAGAAGTACATTAGACTCTGGATGAGGTGAATGGTGAAGAGATAAAAGTAGAGTTAACTTAATAACGTTATTATCTGCCCTTTTTATCATTTAATGGCATACTTCACAGATTATACATTGCAGGTGATATTTTTTAATGTTGGTTTTTACTGCACTCAAATTGACCATCTTCAGTATTTTAACACCTTTATTTTCACATCTGATATTGTTGATTAACTGAACCCATGTACTACTTCTTATGTTTAAAAAGAGACTCCAACTTCACTTTTCCCTAAAAGGAAAGGTGTATGTCACTAAATTAGAATACAATGGAAAACTTTAAGTATTTTAGTAACTCAATTTAAATAGTTATTACTAGTAGTTACTTACACACAGAGTATTTATATATATATATATATCAAGCAGTTGTTTTGATGTGTATAGTTTACAGTGAATCACCATTGAAATTCAGTTTACTTTTCAACTGAATAATAATGGTGAAGACGGAGAAAACCTTGGAATAAAGCCAGTAGAAATGTCTGAGTGATATTTTCCATGTGCGTACTGAAGCTGGATCAGAGGGGCTCAGGACACTGGCTACAGGCATTGAATCCCCCGTTCCAGTCACTCCTTACTTCCTCAATGCGATACTAATATTGGAAATTTGTCCGGTTGTCAGCCACACAGAAAAAAAAAGAAATGCAATTTATCAGCTGATATCTAAAATTAAAGCAATCTGCTTTTGTTTAAGCATAATGTGAGAAATAACAATAAATGGGTCAGTTGCTCTCACCGCTGTTGACTATTTTAACTCTGAGTATCACTGGATCAAACATCTTCTAACATGCCACACAACAAATAAATAATAAAAGTATGTATGATTCCTGCTGATACCGTATCGCATCAATATCTGTCTATGCCCAAAGCTGCTATATTTGTTTTTCTTCTTCTTTCTCCTTACTTTTTAGCCTCTGTGCTAATTTAATCCACTCCTATTTCCTTGACAGACCAGCCATTTAGAAATCATAATACCACTCTACCCCTGCCTTCACAGGTTGTCTGACTCAAGGACCTCAAACATATGGAGGTAAAATAGCTTTACCTAGTTTAAGTTTTCATTAAGCTTAAAAAAATGAATCTTTATGCAATTATTATTATTGGGGTTACAGAATGCAAAACGGAGTTTAAATTGTCATAGATGAATAACGATAGTTCAGTGGGTGAAATGGACATACAGAGAAGATCAAACCCATCGACACCTCCTTTCTCTGCAAATCTCACAAGTCTAAACGTCCACCATAAAACGGGCGAATCCAAACGAAGCCCCGAGTTGACGTAAACTCGAGGATGTTGCCTTATTTGGTTCTGGCCTGTATTTTATCCAAGATTGACATACAGACCAGCCCACTGGAGAGCAGAGAGCCATTAACCACCTGTCCTCAGCCGGAGGGGGGTGGGTGCCAGTAAGGCAGGCTGCGGAAGCATGGGGCCGCCGGTGTCCAGACTACCATCACCGTGTCGGGTTCAGTCGCTCCGTCCCCCGCCGGCTCTCTGCCCTCGTCCACCGGGGTTCCCAGCCCTGGAGCTGACGGCTCGGTTTGAAAACCCAGTGTGTTTCGGCTACATGCTGCACTGTAGTCGATCAAAATCCCGGACGATTTTGAAATCTCCCCCGGAATTTATTATTTTATTTTTTTTTAAGGTATGAAAAGTAGGACATGTCCGAATAAAAAAACGACGTCTGGTCACCCTACCATATCAAAAATTTAATGTTTCAGTGAGTGAGTTCTTGTTGCTATGATGCGTCTTTGCTCGTTGTAAACCAACCAATCAGCGCACAGCTCATCTAAATATTCATGAGCATACCATAAAAGGAAGAAAACCTGTTGTTTCATTCTAGGGCTTTTAACCAGGCTTGCATTAGGGCGCATAGAACAGCAAATATGCCATTTTCAGCCCAACCAATGTTACACACCCTATTCAGAGACCTTAAGAACCTGCACCAAATACCCCATAGAATCATTCTATGACCCCTTTAAGAATTTTGCTAGAATTAATTTGGACCAAATGTATAATGGTTCGTCTAAGTACCAGAAGTCAAGCTCGGCACTGTTTCATTAACAACACCTGTCCCATCAACGAGGAATAAAAATCAGAATTACTTTAATAATCCCAGGGTGAAATTACTTTAATTTCATTTTTCCATGTGTAATAGAGTGACAATAGGACCAGTTTGATATAACACAATTTCATACAATATATATATAATTACGGGGTCCCCGCTCCATCTAGCCGTCAGTTTAGGGGTTCTTGGCCTAAAAAACGTTGAAGACCCCTGGTCTAGGGCAATCATATTGTTTAAGCACCAGGTGAAGAGTAATGAATTTATGAGCTGAATTACACGGTCCACCATCTTGAATCCAATCCAACCTAATTCTCTGACCTCTGCATTGTTCTAAACAGAGTTAGAAGCTGCTCAGATGTTTGAGACAGTGTAGGCAGAGTGGTCCACTTACCAAGGCTGGGAGCCAAAGCCATACCAGGCCAGCTGGAGGATCTGGAAGCCGAGGCCGAGCAGGATGGTGTTTTTATTCCCTATAGAGCGCATCAGGATCCCCAACACCACCGTCTGAGGAGAACAAATGGCAAAAAAACATCCTCAATTGGAAACTAACCTATTTATTTAGACAATAATAATGCAAATATTTCAATTTCACTCCTTGAGACTGAAAATAGTATCTTGATTGACCTATTTTGATTCCATGGCCTTGAAGAATAATTTCAGCATACAGAGATGGGCTCTAACTGACTCTAACTGACAATCATATGGCATTTTACACAAAAATCATGAAACCGCATGAAATACAAACAAAGAAAGGTAAAAATGTTGAGAATCTCATGATTACAACTATATACCTGAGCCAATATGGAGAGGATCCCTACAACTGCAATGAAGGCAGCCACCGTCTCAGAGGTGAACCCTATGACCTGAGAAGAGGAACACATTCAGTTAACAGGTTAGGACAAGACAGACGCACACAAGCATGCATCAACACTAAACCTGCACACATTTACCACCCAAAACACAAAAACAAAGGGACTGGCAACTGATATTTTGTCTACAAGTTTCGCGTCCCACTTCCTTTTTCTGGAAAACGACTTCTCTTTATGCACCAGTAGCATTCAGGCCATTACTGAAGGTAATGTGAGGAGTTTGTAAGCTTTGACAATGGAAGAAGGACAAAGAGGTTCAAGGGGACATGATGTGTGAGGGGTAATTTTAGCTGAATGCTGCAGATAGAAAGAAGGGCAGTGTTACGATGCTTTTGCTGCTAGGATGGCAGGAACATGTTGGACCTGCTGAACTGGTTCATTCTGATCTTCACCTGTTTACCAACCATTTAAACACAATGCAAAAAAAAACAAAAAAACCTGCAGCCACTTGAGCAGAAAATTGTTAGCTGGTCCAAACTGCAAAGACTACAAATCTATAAATGCTGTTCCTGTGTTTTTGACTACGTGGGCTTTTTGCTGCAGGGCTGTTGGTAAATCCACCCTAATGAGGCGGCATTTTATTCAGGCACTGAAATGGGCTGCTTAGCAAATCATCCCTGCTGACCTGAAAGGAACCTTAGTAAAGGTGTGTTTTCTGGCCTTAGGGGGTTGGATTTATCCCTCCAGCTATTCTGAATTTAATAAGCAAGAAGGATAGTAGGAGTATGAGGCTTTAAGAGACATTTTTCTCATTAAAAGTCTTTAACATGATAATCTTAGGGAAAAATCTGAGCCTAATTCAATTCAATTCAGTTTATTTAGACGCATAAAGATGAAGTGAATCGAAACCAATCCGGTGAACGCTGTTAGAGAGGCTGAAGAATACAGTTTGAATGAAATTATCTTTTTAACAGTGCAAGTTTTACTCCACATCTTTCTCAGAGTGAAGAAAACCCTCTGGCTTTACATCTTTAACGACTTTCCTCTGAATAAATGCTTGAGGAAATCTTCCTTTGGAAAGCACCTGTGCTATGCTGCAGATCAATTAAGCTTCTAACTATTAATAATTACTTGAATAAAATTTAAACTGGGCAAACAAAGATAAAACGATAATTTAAAATAAATATTGCATCTGTTTTCCCTTAAAGCTGGACTCATGATTGGCTCAATTTTAGTTGACTTTTTCCCCCCTCAGCAATACAGTCTTATGTTGGACACAATTACTTTTTTATATACAAATATATATTTTGAATAACTTATTTTGTACTCTTGTAGGTTCTAATACATAAATTGACACTATTGGGGGAAAATAACTATTCATATTAAATATTTAAGTCTTTTTTTTGTGAATGGCACTAAAGATGGCATTTTGAGTAAAAAACAGCAGCAGCTGATTTTTATATTTCAGAGGAGTTCCTGATTTTTTCATTAGGATGAAGTCAGACCCCCAAAATTGCTTCACAGGTTGTATAGCAACACAGAAGTAGGCCTCATTATCATTCCGGTGATCCTCTCTACAGCACGTAAAACAGTGAGGTGGGACCAGAAGCGGGCCGCAGAGCACAGCAGGTAAATTAAGTGATCTGATCTGGATTTCAAGAATTTTCCATATCCAAATTTGTGACCAATCCCAACATATACATTTTATTGATCGTAAACAATCTGGACTTGACATTGTGTTCCACCATCCTAAAGCTGGTGTCTGATTTAGCAGTGGGTTTTCACTGTGGGATCAGGTCCACCTTATACATCTGCAACCACAGATGTGTGGACCGGACCTCAAGAACATCTTTATGATATTTAATGACATGAATCCAAATAGAAGTCAGGTAAATAGAAAGCATTGTAAAAAGCTTGTTCAAGTTTCATAAATATATTTCTTATATGTTAAATAAAGTCTGGAAATTGAAACACTCCTTTTTTTAAATAAAAAATTATCAAATTACTTTTATATTTAGAGCATAGCAACCAGCCCAGGTTTCTAAACATTCAATATTTATATTTGATAGCACTCTAATATGTAGTTAAAAAATGTTTGTGTTGTTAAACGGGCAAGATAAATGTTTTTTTAATTAAAAAAAAGGTGCATTGTGACCTTAAATCAGCAGACAATGTCAGTAATAAACAAAAACAACAATCGGCAGCCATATTCCCTAAAGCTTTGTATATGGGGAGTGTTGGCCTAGTAGTTAGAGCAGTGCGCTTTGAGAAGGTTGCCAAGTACCCGATTAAATCCCCACAGCCTCCACTCTGGGTTCCTGAGCAAGACCCCCGGGAACCACACAACTGCAGCCCACTACTCCCTAAGAGGATGGGCTAAATGCAGAGGTCATTTTTTCCAATGTGAGATCAATAAAGTTCTATTATTGTTATTATTATGATGTAGACTATGCAGGGATTATTTCCGACTCCATTGTTTTCTGTAAAAGTTTGTGCATATAACAGCTCTGGTAAGAGCCTGGGAATACATAAAACCAGGATGTACTATGGGAAAAAAATGGTGGGTTGAAGGCTTGCACTGCTCTCAACCCACCATTTTTTCCCCACCATACTTCATCCTGGTTTTATGTATTCCCAGGCACTTACCAGAGCTGGGGATTCCTGGTGTTTTTAGCTGGGTCTTCAAACCTTAGTCTTTTCTGAAACTTTAAAAAAAAAAACACTGTAGCCTCAAACTTAAACTCAAGTGACCTTAAAGTAGTTGCTGCAAAAATCCCTTGAAGAAGCATTTTCTTTAGCAAAAGGGTGAGTTACATAATAAGCGGTTAATTTTTAAACAATATATATTTTTTTCTAAATACAAGAAAAGTTCATGAAGAAAGTGTGAACTGTTACCTGTCTGAGATAGAGGAAGAAGCTGGAGTACTGTCCAGCTTCAGGGAGGTAGGACAGAAACACTGTGATACAGATGAGGAGAACTGTAGAGTCCTGGCCTACTTTACGCAAAGACTAAAAGAGAAATAAAAAAAACAATTCAATACAAAATAGTTCAACATACCATCTCATCTTTTTCCTTTTTATAAATTTAAAACATGACGTATCAACATTTAAAAGCTCGAATAGTGATCAGGTCTTAACATCTTGAGGTCCCACAGGAAACCAAAGGTTGAAAATTACCTTGCATATTTTGGACTAGTAGAGGTCTACAATATTCAATTGTTTTTTTTGGATCTGACATAAAATAAAATAACTTCCTTTCTAAATCTAAAATGCTGAGCTAAGAAATAAAACTTTAGCCACCTGCATTAAAATGCTGGTTCTGATGGTAGAGTTTTGTCAGCAATGGTTTTTCTTTTTTAGTCTGTTAAAACAAATACCAGTTTTGTACCAGGTTTAGGAACCACAGGTCCACCTCATGTTAATAATTAGAGTAACAGAAAAAAAAAAAGATTTGTGCAAACATATCTATTCAGATATCAAGTACAAAAAAAAGTAAAAATCTAGAGCGCTGATGAATCCAGCTTTGGTTAGCAAATAAGGAAATAAGCATCAAATTTAAAGAGAAACCCATCAAAAATAATGAGTATTATTATTAGTCTAAGAATCTTGCAAACTCCCTTTGCTTGATAAACAACAAAGAAGCAGACAGGCTAGTCAGACAGCACTCATTATGGAGACTGCTGATGAACCTCCGTTCTGGCAAAAGAGTCCTTACTGATTTGCTATATTTGGATCGAGAGATTTCAAGATGCATTAGAACCTTAGACGAGTTATCTTTGTAAAATTGACAGTTCTTACAGCAAAGGGGTCCGCCTGCTCCCAAGAGATGGGAGCTCCCCACGAGGCGGGCCTCATTTTCTCTGGCAGAGACTCTGGTACAGCCACTAGTATGAAGCAGATGTCCAGTAGGGCGATGGCTGTGGCTAAGATCACCACCAACGTGTCACCGTAGGTAGTAGACAGATAGGCCCCGATGGCTGGACTGGTAACCAGGCTGGCTGCAAAGGTGGCAGATACCTGGAGAAACGATGACAGAGAGTTTAAAGAACAGCAGGTGGCAGCTTATCAGAACCATAAGCGTTTATTAAACCGTTTTCTCACCAAGCCATATGCTGTGCTCCTCTCATGCTCTTGCGTGATGTCTGCCACATAAGCAAAGATTACAGAGAAGGTGACGGCAAAGACGCCAGACATGGAGATGACTGCAAAATACCACCTAAAAGAAGAGAGCACACATCAGCTCTCATGAAAGGAATCCGGAAAGGTTGGCATTTTAACCTCTGCTGCTGTAATGTCCTTATTAGCCTCTTACCATGGGCTGATCTTCATCAGTGGAATGGGTGCACATGTGAAGAAGACCGTTAGCAGCAAGAAGGACTTGCGCCCCCAAACGTCTGACAATGCTCCAATCAGAGGAGCACTCAAAAATGATAACAGGCCCTGAAAAATACAGAGAGTTTGGGAGAGATGGGTCAGCAAATTGAACAGCAAGACCCAAACTCCTGGATATGACCAAGGAAATAGTTAAGGTTGGCTGGATTGTTCTGACAAAGTGAAGAGAAAAATCTACAAAACTTTATGCTGATAAATACAGTGTTCATGCAGGCAAAAAAATAAAATAAAACTAAATTTAATTTGGAAAACTGAAGAGTTTCTAAAGCTGATTTATACTCGGAAACCAGGTCATGTGTGTCGCAGTGAACGCAAATGTGCCCCCACCCCCTCCGCAAACACTGTTCTGCCCCTCTCCAAAATTGTAGGTGACCGCAGTCAGTGCCGCAGACAGGAGGCCTCTGATTGGTCAATTCTACATCCGCTCTACATAATGCATATTTCCTGTTTGATACCTTACCGTTTTTTTTTTTTTTGTATGACCACCCATTGTGGAAAACAACTTGTGAAGATGGACCACCTAGAATAGAATGCGAGAACGCTGGGACGCTTTTCTTCCACCTGGATCTTTGCTGTTTTTCACCCTAATGTCGCACAAACTTGCCCCTGGAGTTTTTCCACTTCCTCACTGCCTCGGCCATATTTGGACCCACAGCTAGTTTGTGATTGTCCCTCTTGCATTTCAGCAGGGAATAAACATAACGCAGACCACACTTCAATATTGGGCATAAATCTAAAATATCTGCGACACGCCCACTACGATGCACTGCTGTGGGATTATAACCAGGCCTAAGAGTAAGCCTTTTCATTACCATTGACAGTCACTGGTAGATTTTCTCATAAATACTCTGACTAGACTATATTTATTCACATGATTATTTGCTACAAGTGGTCTGTATTTTTAGTAAACAAATGGGGAGTATTTAAATACATCACCCTGAAACTGCTTGCCCCACATTTTATGCTGTAAGGGCTTCAAACTTACAGGTGCTTTAACTAAGCTGCTGTTTGATCTGCTTTGGAACCAGTGTGTTATTTGAGGCTGCATACAGCTCATGTTGAACAGGGTGTTTTTAAAGTCTTAGCGAACCCTCCAAAAGGCTCAACGAAATTAATTAGTAGCTCCTTTGCAAAAAGGTTCATGTCTTGAAGTTTTCCCCTCTCAATTTTTGTAATGTAGATTAGTAGTGCTTGTTTTTTTAAGAAAACCAACACAAAGTGGGGAATAGTTATGAATTGAAACAGTTTTTAGTCAATCTTTTTTCTTTTTAAACAATTTAACCTTATGTGTCAATTCAATGCAGAACATAGTTTTATGCAGTTAACGGTGTTTTCAGGGTGTGCCTCATCTATCTCTGTATGCTTTTTGCCAGCCATTCTTTTCACTGCTGCAGTGTGTTTGCCTGCCTCTGTGAGCTGATTACAGCCTCAATGGTGTGGGGGTTCTCATTTTCATAGTGCCTTCTTCATTTATATGTGCAAATAAGGAGGTAAATGTGTCTAAAAACAGTTTTCCTGGCTGTAACACTCATTAAACGTCAGGGTATAGAAATATTTCCATTGTAATTCTAAAAGTTTCCGCCTGACTAGTGTCCGTGCTGAAATGCGGTGGGAGGAAGCCCAGATGTCAGTCAAAGGGCCGTAAAGCTGATAAAAAATGAGCCATCCGATTTAAAGCATAACGGCGACCTTTTAGAGCATAGCGCTGTGTTACGCTGAAATATGTTGGTGAGAAACCTGACTTTTAAACTGGGGTCAGGTCTGGACTTTAACCATTCAAATACATTCATCAAAATCAGGTCCGTTTCATTGAGGAAATATTGTTTAATTCACTGTAATAAGCTTCCACATCTCTGCTGGGAAGAAAACTTAACTCATCATCAATTTAACTGTATGATCTGGTTGAATTGTAAAGTGCCTTGAGATGACATGGGTTGTGAATTGGCGCTATATAAATAAACTGAATCGAATTGAATCATGGTGTTGCTACAACCATGTATCACTGTGTGGAAATAATATTCGGGATAAAGATCAGCATTGCATTCTTGCTACAGGCAGCATTTTGGATGTAGGCATTTTGAAGTATGATCCTCTGGGTTTTTAGATGAGCTCATTGCTCACCCCATCAGTTTAAATCAGGGCTGTGAAACTTGAATCATTGGGGGTCCTGCAAATTTCAGATGTATCTACAACAAATAAAAGGCTGAATTTCTCCTTGACATTGAGCCAGTTTCACAGAATGTGGTATAGAGCAGTATTCATTCTGTACATTTAGGGTAAAAATGTAGTGCTGCCTCTAAGGCTGCAGACCACTGGTTCTCCAGATCTGCAGGTTGACACCTGTGGCTTTGATGCATCCAGTCTTGGTGACTGAAACTCAGCTTTAAACTTCTCCAACCTCTCTGCTGTGTTACTCTGAGAGCAAGAGAGAACAGCTGCATTTAAGGGTGGATGCTATCAATAATTAAGCAATCATCGAAGGTCATCGGTCAATGCACAACATAAACAGGAAAGGTTGCTAGCATCTGAGTAATATAGGGCTGGAAAATAATTTATTGTCAATACATATAGGTTATGTCAATTTTATTTTAAACGGTTTTATCGTATGTGGATAAAATTACAGCATGCGTCACTGACTGAACCTCAGTTTATTTAAGCCAAACAGAAAGGACCGCAACATATTGGCTACATGAGCGATGATGTTAACCACAGACAATATATAAGGTGTCCAAACAGCAACCCGTACCCAGCTTAAGCCCTCACACATATTTGTTTCTGATTTTAGTGTCTAATGAATTAGAAAAAGAATGTTGCGTAGAACACACAATGCTAATAAGCAACAGCTCGTCTTGCAGCTTACAATTAAGACACACAGTAAAGAGCAGAGCAAGAGTTTGTCACCAATGACGGGGAGTTGTCCAGTCTTATTATGGGGGTTTGAGAAGCGATTGATTTTTGTGATGATTAAAAAGTTTAATAATGTTGTCAACGTTCAGATAAGAAAAAAAAAACAGGGCTGGGATGTGTTTTGTTTGACTAAGGATAAGAAATGCAATAAACCAAGCTTCTATTAACAAACACGGCTGTGCCATGTGTGAGAGAGAAGGGAAGAAATCTTAACAGGATGATAAAACAAAAGAGCTCTACCTACAGCGTCAGCAAGAAGCTAATGTTTCTGAATTAGCTGCTGACCGTAGGTTGTTTTTTCAAAGTGACTTATAAGTTGTTGGATGATTTATTATAGTGAATTGTAAACATAATCTTTCAGATTATGTGCGCTTCTCTTCTTAGTCATATGACAGTTAGTCATAAAAAAATAAAGAAATGTCAGAAACTGTCATGTACACGAGAACTGTCCACGACGTGTACAGTCCTTCACGAACTGAAGGAATAAGAAAAATACAGAAGAGATCATTACCTTGTTAAAGGCATTTTTCCATTTAATCTGTTCAATTTAGAGCTCCAAAAAGAAACTGTTCTAAATCTGAGACTCTTCAGTTATTACATTTTAGATATGTTTTTGAAAAATAAAAGATGTAAAATAAACTAGAAAACAATTATTCACACATTTCTACATCATCTGTTGGGAACTTTCTTGGCTGATTTTTATATAGTTTATATCAATATCAGAATTATATTGTCTTGATGTATAAATGGCCTATATAGTTTTATATTTTCACAACCAACCAGCAACAATTCCCATAGGGATTGCTAGTTTGTATAAACAGTGAAATGCATTTACCACCTATAAAATGCCAATGATAAAGCATGAGGTCAGTCTGTGTAATTACCTTCACGCCATGAATGAGTCCATTCATCAGGAATGTGTGTTGGGGGAATGTCTGATGTAAAACCTAGAAAAAACAGACACAGATGAACTGATGAAAAGGGTTTGCTTGTGGCATATAACAACCTCACATACACAGTCTAGTGGCTGTACCAAATAACATAACTGTAATCATACATATGCAACTACACAAGGGTAAACATCAAGCAATGAATTGTCAATCAAACTGAACTGTGTTTGATATTTCGCTCCATTAAGGTTATGATCCAATATATACTTAAAAACAACCCCTTTTATATCGTATCAAGAAGTGTGTCTTATTTTTCATTAACAAGTTAGAAAATGTGTGTAAACTCTTTAAAATTACAGCAGAAATTTTTTATAAAACCTGAGATCTGAGATAATTTATTATAGTTTAGCTATTTAAAACCGTCTGCTTTGGCTATCTTAATGCTCTGCATCAACTCTAGGTGCTGAAATACTGGGCTAGCTGCAGGTGAGATCTCCTTCACATTAGTCATAAAGATAAACTTTGCCTAAGTCAATTAGTCTTTACTAGTGGTGAGGAGCTTATCTGTGTTATTTTTCCTCAATCCCTACAGTATTTATTTAAACAGCACTCATTTATCAAAAAGGAAAGGCTGTAAATTTTTTGGTTCCTGCCGCCTGGTTATACCCTTTTATTTTTGTAACCTTAATGTGACCCAAGTAGTTTTGACAAAATCTTTGAACCATAACAGAGACAGCAGAGTATATTAAAGCAGCATTTAATCATGCGAAAAAAATTTTTTTTTGGTTTGGTTTGCTTAAGTAAAGCTGCACAAAATTTCTTTTTTTTCCCCCACTGAACTCTTTGTATAAACTCGAGTGTAAAAACAGAAGTGTTATTAAAAGAAAAGATTTAAATCTACCGTGGTTATATCCAAATTGGAGGATAACTGTCATGAAAGCAAATGTGTTCACAATAGGGCTGCAACTAACAATTATTTTGCAAATCGGTTAATCTGTCAATTATTTTTTCATTTTATAATGATTAATAAATCAGTTAAAACTAAGACTTTATAACAAGTTCTGGAATAGAGCATAATGACAAACGAAACCCTTTTTTTTTTATCTTAAATGCAGAATTCTTAAATATTTTAAGAATTTTATATAATTGTATACAATAGTTCACAACAGATAAACCGAGTGCGGATTGGACTCGGAGGATACTCTGCTTGAAACTGAAATTGTGATTATTTTTTAATAAGTGAACACACTACTCCTAAATACAATCAGGTCACACTGTGCTCGTCTTAAAATCCAGTTTCCAAAAGCCAGCAGCATGGCAGTACACAAGGTGGTCCTAATACATATAAAAACTGGCCCATATTAATCTATTAAAAACAATAATTGCAGGCAGGTTAAATGGGCACAAACACACTCAATAGTCTAATGGTAACCCTTGTTTAACAGAGGAAGGAATAATTGCTGCTTTTTGGTTTTACATACATGTTCATAAATAACAGCGGTCTAAAGGATAAAGGTCACGGCGTTTGTACAGTGAGAATTTTAAAGCATGCTTAGTTAGAATAAATACATTAATGAGGGATATAAAAGGTCTAAAGCAGGGGTGTTTTAAGATGCACATAATGGTAGGGTTTGTCTACCCATTGACTTTTAAATCTAGTATAGTGTAATCTGGCTGGGTTAGTGTTAGCTGATTTAAAGCAACTCATCCGACAGCCAATTAAAATCTTCTTATAATTGAAATGTGAGGTATTACACCAAATATTCCTCTTGTCTTCGCCATGATTCTTTGCTTTTAATTAAATTTAGCATTAGGGCCAAGAACATTCAATGACTTTTACAGTGGGTGTTTAAAAAGAGTCCTATATTTAATTAGTGTTGCTGAGCAAAGGCAAAATACAACATTTGATCAGACATGAGTCCTAAAAGTCTGGTTGGTGCATCTGTTACAATCACATAAATACACATACTCAAAGTTCTGACACAGTAAATGGAGATGAAATGGTTAAAGCTCAAAATCTACAGCGAGTCTTGTTCATGTCAGTGAAACCAGAGTAGGAATACAGCACTTTAGCTCAGACTGAGGCATGTTTAGTTTGAAGCCGAGCTAGAGTCTGGTTATTGTTCATGACAGTAAGGGACATGTCCTCTCTTCCTCTGAGAGTCATATACCCAACAGACACTCAGGCCTGAAATGTTTAGTCAAAACTGTCGCTCTTGGATACTAATGAAGCAGTCCCTCTCATCCTCGGACGGGACATTAGTCAAAAATGCAAAGCCCTTCAGCCAACAATTGTGTAGGCAAATAATTAACACTGAGCTGTCTCCTTTAAAATGGACACCAGAGGAAAGCATGCATTGCATCACTCTGCCTGGTTCACATCACATGGCAAACAGATGTTCAGACTTACTCTGAAATACAGGTTTCTGATGTGATTAAAAGGAAAAAGTATTTGGATGGAAAAGGGAGGTAATGAATTTGGAAAAGTGTCCTGAAATATGCTGGTGAACACCTTAAACCGACCAGCTGGTATACAATAGAATGCAGCCCATGGCATGTCATGTATAAAACAGTTTAAAAGGAACATTCAGTTCTAGCAAGGAGATCATGTAGGTTCATTCCTCTATTCTGTGGAACTTATGAAATCTCTGCAGCAAACACTACATCAAGCCACTCACAGCTGCTCCCACGGTGGAGAGAGGGCTGTCTGAGCTGCATCTGTGCTCTGGGCTGACAATACAAGCCAGCAACCCCCTGACCAGCCTTTTCAATAAAGTATGAGCACTGACAATAAAACTGATGTCCTATCCATATTTCTCTGTTTAGTATCTGTGGAAACAAACTCAGATTGATAAAAAACAAAGTCCGAGAAGGTTCTGGCAACTGATTTTATTCAATCAGTTGTATTCAATTATTCCTTTAGGCTAATGAGAAAAAAACAAAAACACGGGAGGCTTTAGATTTTATCTTACGTTTTAGGGAAAGAGGGGTTTATGGAGATATAGAGCCACATCAAAAGTATGAATCCGCCCTGGAACTTCCCCCAAAATAATCAATATCAGTATATTGTATTGGGATTATTTTTGATGGAAACCACAAACTATCTTTACTGTGTTTCTTTTCAATACCACTGATTTCAAACTCGGTAATAGAGATCAACCCATACAGGTTTCCAGTACGGATTCCTACACTGATCATTCTGACATGAATTTAAATGATCCTTAATATGTGCTGTCGATTTTTTGACTGGATTATTTATTTATTTTAAGCCGAAATTGCTTTTTGATCTCCCATTTACATGATAAAATGACACAATGATAACAAATGTTACAAGAGTTTCAATTCAAACAAAAGAAGAATTAGTGAATCACTGTGAATCCAGGGATAGATCTCTCAAGCTGATCAGGCTCTCTGGGATTTCTCACAGTCGTTCATAGCGACTGGAAGTGAATGTAAGCTTTTATTTTTATGTGGTAAACCAGCATTTACCTGCATTTTAAACCAAACATATTTTGCTGCCAATTTTTGATATTTTATGAAGGTAATTGTAGACTGTTTTTATTTTTATGTAAACTTAGTACAGCAGTCATGCCCAAAGTTGGTCCTTGAGAGCTGCTATCCCGCAGGTTTACAGCTTTGCCTGCTCCAGCACAGCTGATTTTCATTGGTAGATGATTAACAGGCTTTTGTTTAACTGCAATCAAAAGAATCAGCTGTTCAAAGGTAAGCAAATTCTAATGCTAAATTCACACCGCATGGGATTGAAGCAGTGGAAGCAGCAGGTTTACATGCAAAGTCAATGGTTGACGCGCATCAAGGCGCATGAAAAGGTCCTGCAGCGCATCCTGCAGCGCAAAGACAGACAGCGCTGCTGATGCAGAGTGCTATGATCACTGAAACAGTTTGTCTTAATTGTCTTAAAATGTTGAAATCTTTTGGCAAAATATGTACGCTTTTATAATTCTGGTACCAGCATTTTGCACCACATACATGAAAAACAGTAACATCTACTTCCAGCCGCCACGATCTGTAGTGGAAACCACCCAGTGCTGCTAGGAATTCCCAGTGACAGCATAAAACATTGAAACTACTTTCTACCCACTGATCACAGCAAATATAGCAAAACCACACTCGCCATTGAACACAGGAGCAGCAGAAGCATCAGACGCATCTGGACACACTTTACTGGACGCGCTTCATGCATCAGACTTTTATATGTACAAGCTTCAAAAGTGAAGCAGCAGTTGCTTTGTTGCTGCCCAAAGCGCGTCCGGTTTGAACGTAGCATAAAACCTGCAAGACAGCAGCCTTTGAGGACCGATTTTGGGCATGCCTGTAGTAGAGTTTAAATGTAGACAACATTGTTCATCTTTAACAGTTTTACACCAACATCTCTGCAGGAGCTGAGATTATGGCTTGGATTAACCCAGATTATTCCGTTGACGCTTTGGCCGTAGTTGAGGTATGTCGATACCACAGTGGCAGCTGCTGAAGACACTTGAAGATGTTCTGGACCAGACGGTCCAAAGACGTCGGAGTACCTCTAGACCCCCCCCCTTGACGTGAGTCCAATATAGAGTTTGCATGTAAATTGCCCAGATGTTCAAAAAGCAGTTCTTATGAACGCAGCATAATATTGGCACAAGGCATCCTTAATGTGACCAAATAAGACAAAGCTCTAAGGGTACTTGACCATTACGTGACTTTAAGAAGGCTTATGCAACAGATTCTGGAGCTTACCGAGAGCATCGGGGTAGTGAGAAGACCCCATGCGAAAAACTCCAGGAAAATGACCACCACAGCATGGTAGACACTGGGCTCGCCGATCCCCTGAGGCTAAAGGGAGACAGAGAAAGACAAAAAGGACAAAAAAGAGTTAGTTGACATGCAACATCATTCTGAGAGAACTTCAACATTTCTGATAATGGGATCACACAAACAGATCTAACTTTAGGCCACAATTATATCCAATTACTATCTGATGTATGATCCCCCATGAACCAGTGGGACAACCCACACTTGGGGATTTGGATGTTGTGGAGCAGGATTGGTATTTATACTAAGCAAAGCAAAGTTATGTTAAATTTTACATTTTATGGTTGTTTTGTTGAGAGTACTGGAGATTGTGTCATGGAATGCAAACACATGACAGTAATAAAACCAAGAAGTCTTCTTTATCAAGAATTTGATGGACGAAACAACGGTTCAACAGGTAAAGGAACAGTGGTGCAGTATGCTCTGCAGGTTCATTTATAGAAAACTGATCTAGTAGTCGTTGGGGGAGCATAAATAAATGTCCTTATTATCACTAATAAAACTGACTTCCTTTTGAGAAGGTCTTTTCACTCTACAGAATCTTTAAAGTGACAAAGTTAAGCTTAGAACTCAAAATGGAGACTGCTTAGCAAACACAATGAGGTGAAAACATTACAAAGCCCACTTTTAAAAACAAGTTCCTCGGTTTGTTTTTCCATTCATGTTGGAAGTGTGCAGTACTTCTTTACGTACACATATTTTCCCCCTGATAACTTTTTTTTAATTTTAGCAAATGGAAAACTATACAACTGACAGAAACTGAGGAACAAGCTTTTACTGATTCATACAAATGAGTCAACTTCCTCCAAATTAATTGCACGGCCAGTGATACATTAAGAGATCACTGTGCTATTGAGAGGCGAGCACCCAACCTGCATTTTGCTGTGACTGGATGAAGAGCTGGTAGAAAATCTGTCTGCTGGGGGTGAAACCATAATTTCTGAATGGTCCGATGTAGACACAGTAAACTAGGCAGGAAGCAACAATCATACTTACGAGGGCCTAGATGTGTCAGGAGTAGAGTTAAGAGGTTGGCCAGAGAAATTGTAAGGAAATGAAACTTTTGTGGTTTTCCTTTTCTCAAGCTCACAACTCTCCCTTGTGTAGACTCTCATGTAGATTTGACTTTTAACCCCTTAGCTCCCACCGACCAGGATGTTTTGACCTCACATTTTGATCCACATCTAACAGTAAGCCTATTTGTAAACAAAATGTTGTACCTCTTTAAACATGCAATCCTATAGATCAGTTTTTTTCAACCCTGGTCCTCAAGGCACACTGCTCTGCATGTTTTGGATGTTTCTGAGGTTCAGCTCACCTGATTCAGATGATTGCAGTTCAGCAAAGCCTGATAATCTGCTATCGATTGATAACAGGTGTGTGAAAGCTGGGAAACATCTAAAACATGCAGGGCAGTGTGCCTTGAGGACCAGGATTGAAAAACACTGCTATAGATAATGACCACCACATCTCATTATTTTTCAAGGAAAATTGAAAATATCATCAAAAAAAGGGAGCATTTATGCATCTTATGCAGTATTTCAGCCATTTAGATAATCTACGTTAGGTGGAGGTGGGAAACGTCCTTCACGTAAAAACACCATCCCCAGGCGCATGCATCGCTGTATTCCTTGTGCCGCTGGTACTCATCAACTGAGTGACTGCTCAAAGTTTGACATATTTAGTTAGCCAATATGATAAGGTCTGCAAAGAAGTATTGGAAGTGTGAGGATTGTTAGTGTTTATGTGTATAAGGAGTGAGAGGAGAGTAGAAATGACTAAGTGAAAAGTGCTTGTAAAAGAAGAAAATGTCTGTTAAGCTAAATGTAGAAATATGTTATTTTAAGGTCAAATTAATCACAAAATTAAAATAATCCAGTTTGGTACCGGTACTTTTGGTCTGATTTTGGATCAACTGTGCCAAATGGACATTTTAAATACCAATAGGTTCAAATTTTCACTAGAGATTTGAAATTTACACCACATGAACAAGTGTAACGAGTTGGCAAGGTTAACTGTGAATTAAACCCAAAATATAGAGTATTAATAATTGCATTTCTTTATGCAAGGGGGAAAAAAATTATCATTTTGGACATGTTTGAAGCTACATAGTTCAAGTTGTGTAAAATATTCATAGTTCATTGTAATTAGATACATCCCAAGCATGTGGGATTTATAATATAATTTTACTGGTCTATGGCATTTCGATATGAAATTTGTTTGTGCACAACCTATAAAAAGGTTGGAGCTAAGGGGTTAACTAATTACATAACAGTGATGGATCCATGCAATCATAACTAATTCCATATTACTCCCACTTTCCACAATATAGAGCATAATTCAGTATCAAAGTCAGTGGATTATGAACTTATGATCTTTACTTTTAGCACAGACTTCAGACCACAAACACCTCAGTCGATGAACCAGGGCAAATTATAGTTAAAGGTTAAAAAGTCTCAGCTAAATCGTTCCCACAGATTTGAGTCCTTATAGTATGAAACTGAGACATTAATTATCACATTTATCTTTCTGTGTTTTGAGCCAACACTGTTGCAACCAAGACCCTCCCCCACACTTTGCTGTGCACTGCCGGTCCGCTGGATAAAACAGGACTACTTTAGTCCCCTCTTTGTATACAAAAAGTACTTATTCAGCTGTATGGAAATACATCCTGTTGAAAAACTTAAACAGTGATGATGCGCAGACAAAGGAAGCGCCGCTCATTTCCAGGTATTACCAGATTAAACCACAGCCAGCAAGTGTGAGCAGCATGTTTGCTAAACAGAAGACGGCAAGATCAAGCCAAGTACAACATCTAAACAATATACTTGCTATTTTTCATGTAGCTGAACAACAAAAAAGTAGAAAGCTGTTTTTGTAGTTGAACTACAACACAGTAGTTGAAGCTAAACTCTATCTAAACCTGTTGAAACAATGCTCTGACAACCTATTTTTGAGGGTTTGTTAGTTATATGTGACCTCAACTTGTGAAACTAAGGAACCTTAAAAAACAAAAACAACGATACTCTACAGAATTATAATGCATACATATTCAAATGACTAGCAAGAAAAAATATTTTTTCTATCTAAACATGCTCGTAATCAAAGATACAAATAAAGATATAAGCTAAAGATATAAACCAAACAGAAAAGAACAGTATCCATAGTGGAAAATGTTACTGAGAGAAGACAACAAAGTAAAAATGAATTCAGAGGAGGCAAACAATATTCATTATAATCAATTCTTGAGTGAGTGCATGGTGACACACCAAAGGCATATCAAATAGAAATGTACCAATTAATCCATAACCGATCGCAATAGGCAGATAGCGCTCTAAACGGTATTGATTGGATCTCTAACAATTGATCAAAGGAGGCCGATCGGATGATGTTTCTTACAACAAACCTCTGCCAGGACATGTATGCCATTCTGTTACTGTATGTTGCAAAACACAACAGATAGCTAACAGCTTCTACAAGAAAAGACACACTTCTTTCGTCTAAAACACTCGTCTAAAGCTGCAAAAACAAATAATATAAACATGTTTCATTTACATTTGTTTCCAGAATATATCATGTAACACTGTGCATTAAATAAATGAAAAAACAAAACCAGACCGCTAGCTTAATGCCAACGTCAATGGGAAAACCCCCCAGAGATGCTAATGGTTAGCATTTTCAAAGGAACACCTGAAGATAAGCTCAGTATGAAGTTATGAAGCAACTTAAAATAAGCTGTGTATGAATGTCCGCCCTAATCCCTATACAGGTTACTATAGTAGTTACATTACTTTACATGAGTTTCCGAACATCTACTGGATGAAAAGGTAGTGGACTCACAAAGGACCTTGAAAAGTAGTGATCATCCATAGACACTAGATGAGCAGATATATTCCAGAATGCTTTGCAAGAGCTCTCCTCACAATGCATTATTGGATTTGTTGGGGTGGCAAGACAGAATAAAGATGGTGCATGCACCATGCAGAGTCACATGACAGACACTAGATGAAAAGCAGTGATCATCTGCCTGAACAGTCAGTTTACTGACTTCACTGTAAAGTCCACTTTGTAGTCCCGCTTGATATAGTGGTTGAGGGTTTTAGGGGTTAGGGCGGACATTCAAACACTGCCATTGAAATTAATTACCAGCAAATGTTTTTCTGACCATGTGATTAAGAAAACTGACAGTTTAGTCTGAAACACTAGAGGTACCAAATAAAACTGCAGCAACAGCTGTCATCACCTGAGATGGTCCTTTACTAAGTATTAGTAACAGGACATCACCCATGCATTTCTAATTCTCAGACGCAGATCTCATAATCCATGGTTTATTGTAAGACTCAATTCCTTTTTTCCATAGGGAAAATAAGGTTTATAATTTACAAATTGTATCAACTGCTGTGTTTGCTCTGAACTGAGAGTAGAGGAGCACAGCGGTTGATTAAAGAAGCCTGCAGGGCAAACAGAGCGCTGAAAGCAGAGGCTGCATCTTGCCCGCACTAGCTATAGGGGCTAACTGTAGAGGATACAAGGGGGTGGCAGTAGATCTTATAAGTCCCCCTGGCAGAGTGCTGAAGGTGGGGGAGAGTAGGTGACAGTTGTCTGGTGTCTGAGCTGGGGGTAGGATGACAAAACAGCCCTTCTAGGGAAAAACTGTTTGTTTAAAAACCGACACAAAACCTTTACAGGACATTCCCGCTTCATTCTTTGTCAACATCATTTTCTCAATCATCCTGTTTGATTTCAAAATAACCTTGTCTCTCTTGCCTTTTTCACTAAAACAGTTGTCAATTCATAATACTTTCTCATTTATCAATGATGAGCTGTCAAACGTCAATGTACATGAGACAATGGTATTGAACAATCAGCTACAAAAACCCTTTATCGGCACATGTCTAATATCAAATACATTTGAGAAGTTTTTGTCTGAGAGAATCTATAAACATTACACTATTTTATGTAACTATATGGAGAATTAAAAGAAACAAGTTAAAGTTCAAAAAAATATATACTACATATCTTGTTGTACTGTTATCTGAAAGCAAATTAAGTCCTGGCAAAAAACAAAAATAAACTTTATCAGACATACACTAGAGATGGGCGACAGTGGCGTTGGATGTAGGAGTTTTGCCCTGAAATCGAAGGGTTGACGGTTCAAGCCCCGACTCCGACTTTCAGTGTCGTTGTGTCCTTGGGCAAGACACTTCACCTGCATTGTCTACTGATGGTGGTCAGAGGGCCCAGTGGCGCCAGGGTACGGCAGCCCTGCTTCTGTCATTGAGCCCCAGGGCAGCTGTGGCTACAATGTAGCTTGCCACTATCAGTGTGTGAGTGTATGTGTGAATGGGTGAATGAATGTAATGTAAAGCGCTTTGGTCAAGTCTCCTAACTTGAATAAAGGCGCTATATAAGTACATGCCATTTACTATTTACCATAGAGATGTATGAAAATTTTAGTTTAACTGCTTTTGACTTTGACTGGCTATTTGAAAATGGAAAAAAACTGAGTTGGAAGGCCAATTGAGAAAAAAAAAACTGCCTGCAGATATCAAGAGTTGAATTTTATGTTTCTGTCTGTTATTAATCATTCTGGTTTAAAAAGTTTTGCTAATGTTGAGCTAAAGAGTTTTAATTAAATAATTATCTACAGTTATGCAATCAATACTTGGTGGGGAATCCTTTTGCAGAAATGACTGCTTCAATGCGGNGAGTTGGAAGGCCAATTGAGAAAAAAAAAACTGCCTGCAGATATCAAGAGTTGAATTTTATGTTTCTGTCTGTTATTAATCATTCTGGTTTAAAAAGTTTTGCTAATGTTGAGCTAAAGAGTTTTAATTAATAAAAACTGTTGATATCACCTCTGGTCCTAATGGAAATATTTAAAGATCACTTAAAACCAAAACGCTTCCTAACATATGACTGAACATTTAGACTTAGACTTTTTCCATCTCAAAACATTGGGTGCTATTTCAAGGATATTAATTAGAAAACAAACCTAGATACATGGTACATATTTCTAGGCTGAAGGGTTCTCTATATTATTTGTAAATAAGTTTTGTTTATAGAAAACCGGACCAATACTTTTGAGGATTTTATCTTTTTGGTAGGGAAAGTAAAAGCAATAATCTAAGGTTGTTTTAGATTATTAATTTTCAGACTACTTCTCTACAAGACTTTTATTTTCCGTTATATCTAGAAAATTAGCCATTTGGTCGTTCTTTATAACTCCTACAAAGAAATTTCAGAAATTGGGTTTAGAGCTGTACAAAACCAGTGAAAAGAAATGGGTAAAAAAACAAACAAACAAAAAAAACTGGCAGGTGCAGTGTGATTTTTAACCCTAGTATAAACTGCATGACGACTGCAGGGCTTCTGTTGAGAACAGAAAGCAATTATAACGCTGGAATGTTGACTAAACATTACCAAACACAGTATATGTCAAACACATTATGTCACAGGCTGTGGCTAAATTCAGTACAAATCTTAAGGAGACAAAATGACAACTATGTCTATTCTTGGGCAGCATCTAATATATGTAGTTTCAAAAAGAAACATTACACTTAAAATAATATAAGAGCAGCAATAAGAACAGTAAATAGGAACAGCTAATTGGACCTAAAGTTTGGCTGTCTGAGGTTTTCTATCTTTTTTGGGTAGTAATACAATTTAATAATAATCGGTTAACTTGGAATTGAGATATAGAAATGATTACATAAAATGCTAGGGGAAATAATAATTTATGTAGGTAAAAAAAAAACAGTGTTGTTGACATTAGCCAGCTAGCCTTACCTGAGCTGACGTGTAAACCACTAGCAGGCCGCTGTGGTACAGCTAGCCACTTAGCTTAGCGGTTCCTCCAACTGCCAGACTGCGTTTAACGGTTAACATTATATTCAACAGACAGCCAATAAAAACTTCAGCTATGTTTGCATAGGCTACACACGGCTTCAGTCTAAATAGGCGACAGAGAGTTATCTTACCCAATGGCTACCTAAGTTAACGAAGATAAATAAATATTTAACTCACACTTCCTCCATCTTTTATTATAATTTTCTTTGCAAGAAGAATGCTGCGGTTCAGCCGCTTCTTCTTCTTTTTCTCCCCCGTCATTGTTAGCTTATGTCCATCCTTGGTGTCAAAGGGTCGTCGTCGTCCCTACCAAAAAGTAAACAAATATTCTAAATTTGGGCTACTAAGCTCATTACACTTCAACTATAGGCAGCTAGCAGCGAGCTAACTAAATGATGATTTTTCATCCCCACCTCAGTTTAGCTTGTCTTCCTGTACCGATATTGTAGGCCCGCCCCACGCTGTGTAATACTCTAACACAATTGGCTAACGGTCAGAAAGACGATACAGCTTTGCATCTGATTGGCTAAGATAAAGAGGATGCCGCGGCCCTCGCGTGTTGATTGGCGGGGAACACACCGCGGCAACAAAAAGGAAATACCATATATGGCTACTCCTTTTTTGTTTTTCGGCGATCCCCGTGTGTTTCTCGAGAACTAGTTTCCTACCAAAGACATCCGGTCATTACTAAGAAATTGGTGAACACTCAACGATTCACAAACAAACGAAAACACACAATTCAGCAGGGGCTATTTTAAAAGGATGCATTTTCATAAGTTAGTACACCCACAAGCTGGTTTTATTAATGAAATTCAAGAAGTGAAACTTAGTAAGATGCATGACACACCACCATATAGTTCAACCGAACATTGTCTAACCAATAGAATGAAGATTTCATAAAGAAAAGTAAGAATTGCGACTCCCTTTGCTTAGAATTACAGCTCTGTGATTGGATGCCCTCTGGACTCAGTGCAGGAGGTGGAAAACAAAAGGATCCTAACTAAATAAACATCTAAAGGTCCTTCTCAAAATATTAGCATATTGTGATAAAGTTAATTATTTTCCATAATGTAATGATACAACTTGAACATTCATATATTTTAGTTCATTGCACACTAACTGAAATATTTCAGATCTTTTATTGTCTTAATATTGATGATCTGGCATACAGCTCATGAAAACCCCAAATTCCTATCTCACAAAATTACTATATTTCATGTGACCAACAAAAGAAAAGTGTTCTCAACAGAAAAAAAGTAATCCTTCAAATAATTATGTACAGTTATGCACTCAATACTTGGTGGGGAATCATTTTGCAGAAATGCAGAAATAACTGCTTCAATGCGGCGTGCCATGGAGGCAATCAGTCTGTGGCACTGCTGAGGTGTTATGGAGGCCCAGGAAGCTTCGATAGCGGCCTTTAGTTCATCCACAGTGTTGGGTCTTGCGTCTCTCAACTTTCTCTTCACAATATCCCACAGATTGTCTATGGGGTTCAGGTCAGGAGAGTTGGAAGGCCAATTGAGAAAAAAAAAACTGCNACAGTGTTGGGTCTTGCGTCTCTCAACTTTCTCTTCACAATATCCCACAGATTGTCTATGGGGTTCAGGTCAGGAGAGTTGGAAGGCCAATTGAGCACAGTGATACCATTATCAGTAAACCATTTAGCAGTGGTTTTGGCTCTGTGAGCAGGGGCCAGGTCGTGCTGAAAAAAAATTTCTTCATCTCCATGAAGCTTTTCAGCAGACGGAAGCATGAAGTGCTCCAAAATCTCCTGCTAGCTAGCTGCATTGACCCTGCCCTTGATAAAACACAGTGGACCAAGACCAACACCAGCACCTGACATGGCACCACAGACCATCACTGACTGTGGGTACTTGACACTGGACTTCTGGCATTTCCTTCTCCCCAGTCTTCCTCTAGACTCTGGCACCTTGATTTCCAAATGACATGCAAAACTGAGCAACAGTCCAGTGCTGCTTCTCTGTAGCCCACGTCAGGCGCCTCTGCAGCTGTTTCTGGTTCAAAAGCTGCTTGACCTGGGGAATACAGCACCTGTAGCCCATTTCCTGCTCACACCTGTGCACGGTGGCTCTGGATGTTTCTACTCCAGACTCAGTCCACTGCTTCCGCAGGTTCCCCAAGATCTGGAATCGGCCCTTCTCCACAATCTTCCTCAGGGTCCGGTCACCTCTTCTCGTTGTGCAGCGTTTTCTACCACACTTTTTCCTTCCCACAGACTTCCCACTGAGCTGCCTTGATAAAGCACTCCGGGAACAGCCTATTCATTCAGAAATAACTTTGTGTGTCATACCCTCTTGCTTGAGGGTGTCTATGATGGCCTTCTGGACAGCAGTCAGGTCGGCAGTATTACCCATGAGTGGGGTTTTGAGTGATGAACTAGGCTGGGATTTTAAAGGCCTCAGGAATCTTTTGCAGGTGTTAAGAGTTAATTTGTCGGTTCAGATGATTAGGTGCATAGCTCATTTAGAAACCTTTTTCATGATATGCTAATTTTGTGAGATAGGAATTTTGGGTTTTCATGAGCGGTTTGCCAGAATCATCTGTATTAAGACAATAAAAGACCTGAAATATTTCACTTAGTGTGCGATGAATCTAAAATATATGAATGTTCAAGTTGTATCATTACATTATGGAAAATAATGAACTTTATCACAATATGCTAATATTTTGAGAAGGACCTGTATGTTGGATAATGTCTCCCACCCCATGCATGAAGCTGTTGCAGAACTGAAGAGCTCCCTCAGTGACAGACTGCTGCACCTTAAATGCACCAGGGAGCGTTATCACAGATCCTTCCTCCCAGCAGCTGCAAGACTCTATAGCCATCACTGTTCCAACAACCACAGTAAGTTGTTACATTAATGCTGATTTTGCAGTTTCTCTCTTAGTCAGTTAAATAACATGCTGCTGTCATTTTGCACATCTATGACTTTGCTGCAATTTTCAAATATCCATTAGTGTAAAAATGTTAAAAGACTAAGTACAGCATTTTATTTATCTTTTAACTCTTCACCATTATGTCATTCTTATACATTTTTCTGAAGCCCGCATTTGTGTGACCATTTTTTCTATAATCGTTTTGCTGCTGCAAACACTAGAATTCCCCCATTGTGGGACAATTAAGGAATTTTCTATTTTGTTCTATGAACTTGGAATTAAAGGATTACACCTATGGTACTTCTGAGGTGAAGTCCATGTTGCTCTAATAGCATCCTTTAGAGTTTGTAATCTCATTTTCCCCCCCGAGAAAGTATCCTATACATTTCTCTATGGAATTTGTATTAAATCAAATTTTAAAGGTAAATTACAGACACAATGGCCACTGAACAACTATTACTACATTTGGTTGTATGGGCAGATACCAAACAAATGTGGTATCTACAAATGTGGTTGCAAATTGGCAACTTTCGTAATGCTTTTAAGAGGGACATTTCCTGGAGAATGGCTGCTCTGACTTTGGACATGAACAGTAGACCTACACCAGTGAATGACATGGCCATCTAGACCCTGCTTTCTCGATTTTTAAATGAGGCCCCTACTCCATCTCATGCTCACAACCTCTTATCGGGGGTTTGCTTCAAAATCCTCTAAAGCAGCGATATCAGACTAATTTTATATTAGGGCACTTCAGGATCACGAAGTGTTTGAAAGGACCAGTTGCTCTATAATTGATAACCATTATTTAATTTACAGAGGAGACTGTTCTGGTATTACAAACTTATCCCCATTTATTTTGTAGTTGTAGCCTCTACTGTATGACTTGTGTTTTTTTCCCCCTGTATTTTGGGCTGAATAGATTGCTGTGAGAAGTTGGATCCAGTCCACAGGTCTCTGGTTTGACACATGGTCTAAAGGATGCAAATATTCCCGTTTCATAAATTTCCCTCCATAAACTTTCCATCTATATAGCATTTTGTAAATGGCAGATTCAAGTAGGAATTATCTTTGCCTTTTATTTGTGAAGGGTTTTATTCACCAGTTACTGGACCTCTGTAAAGTCAGCCATCTATGCCATAATTGCAAAAGGCAACCCATAACTTCTCTGTATTAAGAATTGTTTTGAACCTTGAGTTTGTATCAGCTGTAAGCAATGATATATAACACTAACAGAAAATCCAGTGTATATGTAAATTCAGTTTTTAATGGAATTTTTGAAAACAAAATATTTCATAATATTAAGGTTTAGTTAGATGCACCTGTAAATGTAGTTAGGAATAAATCACTTAATAGCAGTCAAATGAATTTTATTATAATGTACACCAAACTTCCCTTTGTACATAGAGCTATGGAGAACCATACCTCTAAGGATAAAAAAATACATCAATAAATAATGCAACGATATGAGCAAAAAAAGAAATCAAAATAGAAAGTCATCAATTAATACAGTACAGTACAGTTTACATTTATACTTTTACTTTTAACTAATTAAATTTCTGCTTCAGGAACTCCATTTATTCATTCTTCTATTTAAATTATTATTTATTTCGTTTGTCATTGTTTTTTGGTCTAATTTTTGAGTTATCCATTTACTTGATTTAAATTAGGCAGATTTGATCCTCAATCAAAATGGGCGGCTACAGTTTAAAGTAATACATCCTGTATAATAATCAGAGAAAGACATTTAAAAGCTTTTTGTTGCTGTTAGTAATATGAAAAAAACAAGGCACACCCATCAAAATGTACATGCATGCACAACAAAAGTATAATGTATAGACCATGGACGACTTGTCTGGTCTTCGCAAGAAATACTCAGTCAATCTTAAAGTTATTTTTCCCTAATCTCAAAATATTTAATTTCAATCTACAGGTAAACCATAAAAATGAATAAAAAAAGTACATTGATTCCCATTAAGAGTCTTAATCACAGTGTCATAATATGCTCAAGACAAAGTCACAAAGCATCTAGTAAAGAGTGACTAGATATTTTATCTAATGAACAATATAAGATGTAATGTATTCCAGAATACTGTGCATTACTGAAGGTGACAATTTGTTTTTTCAGTTTAAAATTTCTCACACAGAACTGGTCCAAAAACCTAAAGCCTTACACAAAGTGTTCTGTACAACCATAGAATTTACTCAAATTACCATATATATCAGATCAGGAGTATTTCTGTGGAGCTCTCATAAGAACCCTATTAGGTCAGCATGATTTTCTTTTTTATACAAACAAGTTCTAAGCAGCAATGACCAATAGTGTTTGTAAAACAAAGTGCACTTTCTTTCAGGCATGTTATACTTGGGGATATCAAGATAATTAGAGTTTGTGCTCCATAGTCAGCTTTAATCTTCAACCTCATCAATATAAGGAATGTCCAGGTCATCAAAGCTCCCATTCAAGGTCTTGCTGGTGGTCTGCTGTGTGTCGTCTGAAGAGGAAATCTCCTGTCTGGGCAGTGGGCGTGTAGAATGGGTAACATCTGTGTTTTGTCCAGAAGTTATCTGCCTTTGTTCCATTTGTGCTTCAGCAATGCGTCTCCTGAATCTCTGTGCCAGGTCAGCAGGTTTAGCGGGGCATTCAGGTTTCAGTGTTTTCGACGACTTGGTCAGCTTTCCTGGTAACAAACATGGCACTTTAATGAAAATAACGTTTTAAGTTTTTTTGTAAACCAAAGCTTCTTTTTTCTGGTTTTGACCATAGTTTATTAATAGAGACAGGAAGAAATATATTTTGTTGCAAACAATTCATTCAGTATTTGTTTAGCATCAATATCCCATCAACCACTATCCATTCTCACTTCCTGTATTATTTCATGAAAATACTACATATATTTCACTTTTCAGCACTGAGCTGAAAGCAATGAGCAGACATCAAACTTCTGTAAAAGTTTTTTTCAGCAGGTAGAACTCATCACCATCTTTTAAAAACACAGCGATAACTCCTTTGGAAAATAGGGAGTAAAGAAGTAAATTCTTGCATCACAGTGATTTTTCCACATACACAAGTATAATGGGAGGCAGATCTTAAGCTTTCAGGCTCATTTCCTGTAGAGCCAACTTCAGTTTTAATCCACGAGACAAACACCTTTCTCACTTTTAACACGACTTTTTAGGCTTAAAAGATTCCTTTTTCATAAAACAGCTTTGGTTAAAAACGTTGGCTCTATTTAAGAACTCCTCTGGAATATTTAGATATGATTTCACAAAGAATTCTTTATAAAATGAGGAACATTATGACCAACCATGAGCATCATCCTCAGAAGACTGTTAAACGGCAGTGTCATCAGTCAAAGGTTCCTTTAAATCCGATGGAAAACAGACTGCTACTGAAGATCCTTCTTACCTACAGCTATCAACATATACAACAATGCCAAGAATATCCTCTATAGATCTGCTACTATAGGCTTAGGCTGCAGGAGAACATAAATGTGAATTTTCCTCACTCTTCTATATTATTTTATTATTAAATTTGACACTTCTTTACCTCAACTTTAAACTTTACATTCTCTTTGTTTCTTTCTTAGTAGAAGCTACATCTGACCTAGCATGCTGTTTAGCTGTGACACTTGTGTTAAAATATTTATCGATATTTTATCTTCCGAGATACATCAATACGCTTTCCTCTGGCCAACACTGTATCCATTCATGCAAAAAGTATATTTTTCCAACCTTCATCTAGTTTGTTTTTTAATTTTTAATTTAGATTTTTTATTTTTTGACCCGTTGATCAGTGCTAGGAGCCACTGAAGGGGAATTTTGTCACTTTAGCAGGTCTCTGTACAAACCTAGAGGAAGGTTGAGGTACCTTACCTATTTACTGACCTTCCGAGTCAATGCCCCCGAGCTGGTCGAGGCTGTCTGAGCTCACTGATGATGCAGAGTCTAGGATTTCACTGTCAGAGAGCTCCTGCTCCAGTTCATTTAACCCGCTTGCTAAGGCTGCCCTGCACAGGAAAAAAAAAATGCAAATACATTTTTTAGGAAAACTTTTTATTTTAGTAAATGAAAGAAAAACTGAACTGTTTCTGCTTACTTGAACTGCTTGATTGATTTGATTCTTTCAATGATGTTGTCATCCGACTCCTCAGACTGAACTGGGTGTGGAGCATCCAGCTGTGATTGCTGTTCACAGACCTAGATAAAGATGAAAATAATATTTCTGACAGTGAGTGGCAGTTTTCATATACCGTAATTTTCGGACTATTAGCCACACCTGAATATAAGCAGCAGAAGCTAAATTGCATAATTTGTACATATACAAGCCGCACCGGATTATAAGCTGCAGGTTTTTTATGTTTAATGTCCGTCTTTCTCGCTGTCGTTCTGTCTCGTACCACTCGCGGTAGAAGTCTGCTTCCGGAGGACCTCCGCATTCCCACGCGAGCGGCTACCGTACTTATGTGTTGAAGCAAATGTGACGTCAACATGGTGGATTATAAAATCCATAGATTTAGGTATTACCCTAGTGGCCGTTAGCTGTAAAAGTCCATAGATAAGCCGTACTGTTATATAAGCCGCAAGGTCGGAAAATGGGGAAAAACTTGCAGCTTATAGTCCGAAAATTACAGTAGTAATCTGAGAGAGGCAAGTCAATGGGAGTTACAATTGCTTTCTTGCTGTTTTTTCGGAGGGCTGGAACATGCAGCTGAATTAAACAGAAGATGTAGTTTATGGAATGTGGAAATGGACAGCTCAACACTGTTAAAACTTCTCTGAATAGGGACTTGAAAAAAAGGGAACAGATGAAGCTTCAGATGTGTAATCTCAAGTTTAAATAAATGCAAATATGATCAAATAAAAGCCTGTATACTTTTATGAAATACTTCTGTAATAATTACCATTTTAACAATTCAATTACAAGATAAACAGCGACAATATGAAAAAACAACAACTTCAAATTTCAACCATATGCAGCCATCTGGTTAAGCTTTTTGTGTTCTTACCGTATTTTGTCTCCTAAGTCTCAGAATATTCACAGCCTCTGCTTCTGCATTCTCCAGCTCATGGATTTCTTGCATCTTCTCGTTGTAGCGTCTCAACTGCTCATTGATAAGGATCTCCACACAGCTAAGGCAGACATTGTAAGAAATGCCTTTTCAGAATTACTTGTATAAAACCAATAAGTAAACTTCAACACAATCCAAGATTATGGTATTGAATGATAACTCACAGGGTAGTTTTGGGCACATCCTTCATACTGAGAAACGGGTCGATAAAATCAGGTGAACGCAGGATGCAGGGGGCAAACACGATAGCCAGAGAGCTTGGCGTCATCTTATTATGCTTCTCTTCCTTTGCAACCCTAAAAAGCAGACATTAGTGAAAATCTAAAGAAATCAATTGCCCATAAAAGAGAAATAAGTAACTTCTTACTTCACAAGGTGAAAAATTAACCGCTCCAATGTGTTGTAATTAGCTGGAGGAAGCTCATCCACTTTTTGGTATACAGCCTTTATTCTGTCTGGTTTCTCTGGAAGCTCTGCATGTTGAGGAAATGGAAAGGTGAACTTTTCAGGTGAAGGAAAATATTGTAAAACAATTCACATTTTGCTAAATGCATTCACATAGTGTGAAAATATTTACAAGCAGCATTTAATATCTAAATTCTTTCTCACCGACAGCATGCAGAAAGTCACTGTAGAGAGAAAATGTCATGAGGGGATCAGGAAGCTCTCTCAGCCACCGTTTGACGAGGCCAGTGATGGTGTGGATGGGGTAGTTATCTAAATTGGCAACTTCAGGATCTGATGGAACAAGAACAGAGAAAAAAAACAAAGCCTTTTAATTTTAATCATGTATATTTTTTGTCTAAAATAAAAGATTTATTTATATTTGTAAAAATGGGTATTTCTAACTTTATGTATTTATTTTATTTACATTTATTTTTCCTATATTTTAGTTGCTCTTCAAAAAATAACTACAGAACAAGATACAAATATGGGATATTACGTCTTTCCTTGTAGATAAACATATGCCTAAATGTTTCTGTTTTTTTGATGCTCAAAGTTACTCTGAGTTGTTTGTTCCTTAAAATGAAAAGAAAGGAGAGAATAATCACCAACATCACTGATACTTTACTATGGAAGAAAAACAGTCTCATTGGAATCTGCATTTTTTTTTTAAACACCGAATTTTAAACACTGAATTTTAACACCGAATTTTAAACACTGAACTTTTTTAGACATTGAATTCCTTACACTCAATTTTTATCTGGTAAAAATTCACCAGAAAAAAATTCAGCTGCAAAAAAATAAAAAATAAAAAAATCAGCAGCAAAAAATTCAGCCACAAATGTGTTGACCTTTTGGTGAACTCAAGCCAAAGCAATCTACACTCGATAGAGTCGAGCAGCTTCTACCCAATGAAATTAGTTAATTTGGTCACGTGACACAATGGCTGGGCTGATTGAGGAGTTATTTAAGTTAAACAGAATTACAAAACTTCAGTTAGCTATTAACAGACAGCTAAAAATTCAGTGTTAAAAAAAAGGCAGATTTCAATGAGACTGATTTTCTTCCATATTTTACACCACAGCCTGAATACAATTTGAGAAAATTATCAAAAACAAACAAAAAAAGAAGTTATAATTAATACCTAATTTGCTTCCCCCGACTGCACTTCATTATATATATATATATATATATATATATATATATATATATATAAAAAAGCAAAGACAAGCATTTTAAGACTTGTATGCAATGAATTTCTTACCAGTCTCCAGAATCTGGTAAAGTTCCCTTGCTCGACAGGCTGCCCCTGATTTTCGGTAAATACCCTCAGTGTACAGGCCGTTTAGCTCGACATGCATCAACAACAACTCCATCACTTTGGGCACGGGGTGGACTTTACTGGTCAGGACACACACCTGGACCCCAAAGTGTAGTGAGCCTGGTACACTGTCATCCTGACACAAATGAAGATCAAGAGGAGTTAAATCAACATGAACGTTAAAAAACAATATATATATATATATATATATATATATATATATATATATATATATATATATATAAAAAACAGCTGATTGTTTTCGTAAAAAAGTAAAGTTCAGCTCTTACTTGTCTGGCACACCGTGTTGAGCAGTCTGTAATGACTTTTTTGAGGCATTTCTTGTGACAAATTAACTTGCAAGCTGAAATAGAAACAGACCTTTATTTTTTTATGTAAACATATGCAGCCTGCAGATGAATCGGGGATTTTCCCATCCTTAGATGCCTGCCATCTGGATTTATTTGTTAATAAAGAGCTTAGCTCTCCCACCTGATCAAAGCAAACATTTCCAGTAAGAGTAGGATTGCACAAAAGGACGTTTCCCCTAGAATCACTTCCTCACAGATGGTTAGTATTTAGATACTATACGATACCAACGGTTGCTACAGAGTCTTGGTAACCCAAGACACACACTCTGCTGTGGCCTGAGGAAGTGAGCACTGGGGCTGCACAATATATCACGAGTATATCATGATCACAGTAACAAGTTCGTGCAATAGTTATATTTTAGAGGTCTATTTGGAGTGCAATAATTGTTGGCTAATGTATTTGTTGTCATCCCAAGATATTCAAATATGATGCATCCCTAGTGAAAATGGAAGGGGTTTCAGGTCCTTTACCATACCCCTCATATGATGGCTAAATGTGTCCTACTTTAATTGCCTGCGGTCTTTCCCAATCTGAAAAGTGGCAGGGAGACTCAGAACTCTCTGAAGTTATTATGACTATTATGATGAAGTTATTTATTGCTAACTTAGGGTTTGCATCTATTCAAGTCAACTTGGAAAAGCTAAAGCACAAGAAAAAAAATCCATGAATGGACCAGAAATTCTTATAAATATTTCAAAAATTGTTTTCCCCCATCCAACAAAAATGTAACCAAATGTTTAATTTTTCAAAATGTTACAGAGACATGTTTTTGGAACGAAAATGAAATTACTTTAAAACTTCATTCACATTTTACTAGCTCTATCAACTGTTTAGCGAACCAAATGTAGTAGATTGCAACAATTTACCCTTGTTTGCAAAGCTGTCTAATACAGGGATATTGTGTTTACTCAATTCAATTTAGTTCCTTTATATAGTGCTAATTCACAACACATAATCACAAGGCACTTTTCAATTCAACCAGATCATACAGTCAAATTGATTTCCTATCTAAGGAAAACCAGTTGATTGCATCGACTCATTGACCCGAAGGCAATCCCTCACACTAAGCATGCTTGTAGCGACAGTGGAGAGGAAAAACTCCCTTTTAACAGGAAGAAACCTCCAGCAGAACCAAGCTCCTTGTGAGCGGCCTTATGCTGAGGCCGACTGGGGTTCAAGGAGACAGAAGCAGAGATACAAAGGCTAACTGAAGTTATTAACTCACCGCTGCACATGTACGCTTTCTCCATTACCCAGATGTAGGAGCCACACAAGTCACATGATTGCATGATGTTCTTTTGGTATGTACTGAACAGATGATCCAGAGGATTATCAAGCTAGAGGCACAAGAAATACAGCAACAACCTTAGATTATCCAGTGTGTTCATATAGAAGAAACTCACTGAAGGTGTTAAACTTACACATTTCTCATTTCTCCATCTCCTCTTTGTTGTTGTCGTCTTAGAAGACTAAAAGAAGCAGAGGCCAATTATCTTATTGAACCAACAGTAGCACGTTTACACTCTCCGTGGTTAAAATAATGATGATTGAAAATATAAAACCTACCTTGGCTGGTTCTGACTCGGCTCGTTTTATTTCAGCCCTGATGAACCCGTCCAGCACAGATTGGAACAAGTTGACCACCAGTGAGACCTCCGACTCGTTAGTTAGTTTTGCTAATGCGGTCACTGTGTTACGGTAGCCATTCATTAAGCTTTTGTAACAAACTTGGGGCTTCTGTTGGTTGAAACAATTATTATAGATTGTTATCATTGAAAGGATAAAAGATGAAAAGGAAACTTGAATTTGTTTTGTCTCAGTTAAAGTGTTAAAGGTGACATACTTTTAAGGAGTACATGTCTTTGATATTTTCCCTGAACTCCATGGTGGCAGACAGGAACATGTTTTCCGTAGGGGACAAATCTTTTATTCTTGTTCGTAGCTCATTTACCTGACAACAACAGTGAGAAAGTTATGAATAAGTATAAACCTGGATACATGAATAATAAGTCAGAGCTTTGTTAAACCCTTTGAATGATACTGTAGATGAACTAGACACACTGAGTTTTAAACAGGCCATCTCAAATGTTAATCCCACCTGATTCCCAAGGAACTCGTCCAGGTTTCTTAGCTCATTAGGATCAGTAATCTCTCTGTCAAGTGAGGCATCAGCCTGCAGTGCTCGTGTGGCCCTGCTGATTCGAACAGTAGTGTTTCTTGGAACCTTCGAATTGTTGGAATTAGTTTGGTAAGATTGTGGAGACAACCTTGGCAACGTTGCTGTAGAAGACAAATAGGATCTTTATTTATGTGACAAAGGAGAATTGTCTTTAAACATGAAAGATGACACAAAATAATTTTTTTTTAACAAAATAGGTGTCTGTGTCTTAAACATCACTTTCTGTTTACATGTAGATGAAGGTAACAGAAAATCTATGGAAATAAATGAAGGTAAAGGTCAGCAGAAATGTTCAAAAAATACATGAACAATAGATGTAACCAGTCTTTAGTTGTCTTGACATAAATGGCTTGTTTTCAGTGTTTTTATAACATTTTTGTAAATGTGCTCGAAATAACACCTCCCTTAGCCAATCTACTTTATTGAAAAACTATTTATATTGAAGTAATCTGTAGATTTGTTTTCTCTAAATGCTTGGATTAGATCAACTTTTATTTACATCCAATGTGAATTTCAAGTCAATATTGGAAATATATTTAACATCAAAAGAGATTAGCGTGTTCAATACTTGTTTTCATGTCTGTGGAGAATGTAGACATTGCATTCAAGTTAAAAACTGTACATTTTCAACCAACCACAACTAAATACTTGCATTAGTCATTTTTTTATTAAACAGTTACAGAATTGTAATTTCACACTTTTGATTTACCATTTTTATCTGAAAGAGATTCACAGGATCCAGAAGATTTCTGTGCCCGTTTCTTCAAAAATCTACCAAGAAACCACATCCTAAAAAAGAAGACAGACTGGATGAGTTCTGCAAGTGAGAAAATGTAAAACCTAAGACATTATTATCTCAAAATATCATAAGAGTTTGCAAATAAAAATCAGAACCTCTCTGGAGTTGTAAGCGCCTGGTTTGAGCTCTGATTATCTGTGCCTCCTGTGGCTGGAAGGCTGTACCTTGAACAGTCCAGTTCTGATTGCATCTATAATGGCAAGAGAACACAAATGTTCTACAAGTTACAATACCAAACCAATAATAATCTTAATCTAAATACACAAAACACATGAACTCATTTCTTTTTCATTTGATAGTTCCCATTCTCCAACTATACACTCACTGCTCCAGCTGTTTTCCCTCCTCCACCACAGAACCACAGCCCAGACCATTAAAATGAAATAGAACCACAGTAGTTACAGTCCTTCACCATCTCCATTCATCATATGTACCATGCAAAGATAAAGTGCCAACCCACCAGCTCAATCTACCTACAATCGATATGAAGGTGTTATTTGTGCTGACAAAAGTTAGTAAGATTTTATTTAAAAATGTACTGAATTAAATCTTGTTTTTTACTTTTATAGGAATACGTCACTAACTGCATACAAACCAATCATCGGTTTCCAGCTAGGACAAAATTCAGCAGTTGTATATTCAGCCAATCTATGCTGTATTTTACAGTATGGCTGCTTAGATCAAAGTAAATTTTACTCATAGCACAAAAAATCAATATCAATTCTGCTATCTGTTTCTGGATTGACTATAAATACATCAGGGAATTTCACAATTGATTTATGTGGAAGGAGGTTATAAAACAAGAGAGACATTTATTCTAAGTTTTATTTTGAAAAAGGACAAAACCTGCAACAATGTTTGAGAATTCCAATAAATTCCAACATGGTTTGTTGCAATAGAACTCATATTTTTATTAAATAAAAATACACTAATAAGTTACTGGCATTTGTAATTTTTTGTTAACCTAATTTTTGCCTGCAGACTGATGCTCAAGTTTGGCAGAAAGACAAGAGATTAAGAAATGAGCACTGGAAATGGACTTTGACATTTCCATAGTTTTGGAAAGCAACAGCTTTTGTTACTTTAGGCCTTGGCTGCAGAATGAAAGATAGAGCTCCAAGAATAATGCAAGTTATTCTGCCGGTCCATATGGGTCATTTACATGCAGGGCCAGTGTGGAGAGGAGAGTTATGGTAGGAAAACTGTCCCCTAGGTCAGTACCTTGACCTGGGAATTGAGGGCCCGGAAATCCATGCTACTGGCTGAGTTCTTCAGGCCAGGCAGAAGAGGGCTGATGGGAGGCAGGGGAAATTGCCAGTATTCACTCTCCTTGGAGCCCCCAAAGTTATACACCAAACCGCTGCGAGCATAGGCTAAACGCCGCTTGTGTTTTTTCGGCTTGCGTAGTCGAACCCTTTCCTGACGGGGCCAAAGAAAGGAACAATGCTCAAACTTAAACTATTTGATTATGTCTCCAATGAAGAGTTTGCCTGGATAATAAATCTTTAGAGTCCTGAACATAAAGATGGATTTTACAAACTAACAAATATGTTGTTAATGACGCATTAAAAAAGGGAAAAACTGGAAGGTTTCATTGTTGCACAGTTTTGACCCATGCCTATGGATTATAAAATAATCTGAAGACCATCACCTGTCTGGTATTGGAAGAGCTTTCACATCCAGAGGAGCCTGACAGTTCATCAGCAGACATTGACTTTCCTTTGCGACTTTTCCAGAAATAAAAATAAAAAATAAAAACAAATTAAAACAATTAAAAGTTTACAGAATTTTTCAGACGATTTAGCCTTAAACATGACAAAAAGTAAATACATGTGACAAAGGGTGATATAACTGGTCTTGATCCCAAGATAAATGTATTACTCAGATCTAGAATGCTTTAAAAGCAATTCATGCCACAAACATTTAAAAAAACATTGTTGCTTTAAAAACATCTACTTTATTTCTCTAATGTTTAAACATGAACAAGGACATATCGGAAACAGCAGCTCTTAAGTAGCAGAATTATTAAGTAGAGAAAGTTTTTTTTTTTTATGGCAAACACTTAAGAACTTACTAGAATTCATTTCTCTTTCGGGCGATTTCAGGACTTGATAGGTCAGTGAGCTCATCTTCACTGTATCTTTCCCTCCTGCTTTCAGAAGGGTTAATGCAGGGACTGCTGCCAGCAGTGGAGTCCAGTGGGACGGAGAAGGGTCGGTTCAGCAGATGAGGAGACCCTCTGCCTTCTTCTTTCTGCCTGCTCTGGTCCTGCTGTGAGGTCTGGCTGTTGACTGGATCCGACTCTTGATTCATGCCAACGTTGATGTCTGGACTTTGCTGCCACCTCAAACGCCTTTTCTCCAAGCTGTTTGCAAGACACATGATATCAGACCCACTCAACAAAAGAAGAGCTAAAACTTTTCATCAGCTTCTTTCAATGTGTCTGTTAATTTAAAAACAACAGCAGTGATTAGTTTAACGTAGCTGAAATCGAGGCACTGCAACCCAACCGATTGACATGAATAGCACGTTATTTTTCAAACAATCATTTGGAAGATGCATCTTTAAAAAATTTTATAATATGCAGTATAGTAATGCACAGCAGCAGCACCATAAATCTAAACGATAAATCTGTTCTTCTTACCAAATAGTCAAATAATTTTTTCATTCTTCATTATTTTGATTATTATGGCTTACAGCTAATGAAAACAAAACAGTTTAACTTCTTTGAAAAATAAGAATACTACATAGGCATTGTTATGGATTACACAACCAACAGGAAGACTGCTGACTCAAGAGTTGTCCAACAATCTGGAAACTTTCACAAGGCAGTAGGGGTGTAAATCACACTCATCATGACGATTCGATTCAGTATCGATTTCCTGACCCAACGATTTGATTATTTTCGATACTCAGAATACGTCATCTTCTTTTTCCTCCGCCATGTCTGTCTTGCCTACTGTTACGCGACTGTGTGTGTGCATGCGGAAAGAGGGTAGTGGCTAAAGGAAGCGAGGTAAGAGGGCAAAATAGGTTTAGTGCCACCGCAGCACGGGAGTCAGAATTACGTCCATGAACAAGTGGATAAAAATAGACCGGAGAAAAAGAAAATACAAAAAGATACAAAAAGATTATTATTTACACCCCTACAAGGCAGAGGGTAAGCTATAAAATGTCATAACTAATGGAAAAATTAATGGAATAAAAAGGCTGGTTGATAAAGGTTCACCACAAGGATAACTCCAGCTTTAAAAAAAATTGTACAGCAAACACCATTAAGAATTTGAGGGGTGATTCACAAGGTTGGGAATGCAACTGGGGTCAGTGCTTTGGGAGCCACCAACCGACTCAACAACTATTGATATCAGGGAGTCTCCCAGAACTTCGGGGAGACGTAGGATGTCCGTATGAGAAACATCTGCCCAAATAATGTGGACGAGCTGTTAGACAATATCAAAGCAATCTGGGATTAGCAGTCATGATTCCATCAATGATTTATTCCTGTTTTTGAGTTTCGCTTTAGAAGGGACGGATGAAAGCAGAAAAACTCAACTCATCTTGCTAATTTCTGTAAAAAAAGGTATTGAGGTGATTTTTGACTTAAAAAAAGAAAATGCACATAAGAAAGGATGGATACACATTTGTTAATTAAGTTAATGTTTTAAGTAAAACCAGACTCTAAGGAATAGTACCTGACTCTACGTTGCGAACTGGAACCTTCCTTATTCTCCATCTCCTCCTCTATGGACTCTTTCAGGGAAGTACGCCACGCCATCTGCATTACAGTCGCTGCTCGGTTCTGTTTCTCAAAAAACTCCCGCCAGCTCCTCTAAAAAAATACAAAAATGTAGGGCATCCCATTAAGACCTGAATTAGGTTTGTCCACAATTATATGTACTGTTCCTTTCAAAGTTACTCACTCCCATTAAACTTTTTCCTTTTGCTACATTAGAACCAAAAACTATAGTAGATTGTTGGTATTTTATGTAACAGCCAAATGCAGAGCCTGCATATCTATGAAAGGCCAGGGAATGGATGGATTCTTTACAAAGTTTATATAAACATTGGTTAATATGCATAGGTAGCATGCATTTAAACCCCTTGAAGTTTTATTTTGAAAAGTCACCTTTTAGTCAAATTAAAGCAGTAAGTAGGGGTATGTCTCTACCAGCTTTGCACATTGTTCTTTGTGAAATACTTTAAGCTCACTCAGTATGTGTGTAGAAATTGTTAAATACAAACCTGTCAAGTCTTGCAGTAGGTTTCAAATTGTATCTTGAAATCTGATTAGCCCACATGCTTTGATCTCAATTACAGGTGCCAAAGTCCAGTCATTGAAAGCTACTACCCTGCGACTTTTAGAGGCATCCCTGCCCCACAGTATAATACTACGATAATGCTTCAAAGGGGACATTTCTATATTCATTTATGCAGTCTGTTTTGGGTTTTGAATCCATACGGATAAAGTTCACTTCTGATCTCATCTAACTTCAGTAGTTTGGTGCGTCTCCTTTATGACTTGTGGCAAACTATAGTGGGGATTAGTGGAGTCCAGGATTCACAGCTATCCTGAGCTGTACAGTGGATCCTGTGGCTCCTCCAGGGGTGTTGTGGGCTTCTTCGCTGGTTTCCTTATTGCTGTGCTTGGCTGGTCTCTTAGTGATGTTGTTTTTTAGCCTACATCTCAAAATGGGTTGCTCTGTCATTATAATAGTATTTTGTCCCTGGTCTGGATAACGGATCCTCTAATGCCTTCTCAGAGCAGCAGGATTTATACTTACCGGTACGTTTATTTACACACTGGTGAACTCCATTACTAATCAGGTGGGTAATTGTTGCATCTGATTTATTTAGGAGCATTTGTGCATTGAACTGTAAGTAGCTCAATTAGTTTTGCTTCAGTAAGGAAATAGCTGTACCTGGATGATCATTGTGGCGTCCCTCTTTTGCAGGAAATGCATTCTGATGAGGCAGGTACGGAACCACCGCTGCAGTGTGACGATGCGCTGCATCACCTCTTTGTTCAAAGTGACCTGGAGTAACTGACGCTCTTTTTCTTTGAGATAAACCTAAGCAGAATGAACAAGGGTTTTAGTCATCTGACGCTGGATCAAAGAAGATTATGTCTTTCAGCATCTGAAGATACATTTTCTGCGATTAAACTTAAAAAATATATAATTTATTAAATAAATTTGGATCAAAGTAGAGCATGTGCAAGGGTTTAGACAGATAGAAAAAAAGAAACCACTACTAGATACCTTGTTTTTTCCTATTTGGTAGGAGGCTTTTTCCAGTCCCATCTTCTCAAACAGTACAGTTATGACTTCTGGGGCTGCAGTGGCTCCCTTTGGAAGCAAAATCCTGAACTTCTTAACAAATTCCTGTTAATAGGGATGGGAAAAAAACAAAAGAAAAACAAAATGATTTCTCAGCATCTACACCTTTTGGTTGAATTTCACGTTTCTGTGTTGTGTAGTTGAATAAGTACACAATTACTGGTACCTCTGGTTAATGTCTTAAATTTTAAAACTGCGAATTTTAATTTTAGCCTGTTTTATAACCCATTTTTGCTGTTAGAAAAGATATAAATTTTCTATAATATCGAACATTTTTGGATCCTCCAGTGAGAGAGATTTTGGACATTTCCTCTTGGCATAGTCTCTCTCTAGACCATCCAGGTCAAAGTCCTCTATCATGTGATTTTTCTTTTCAGCTCACCATGCTGGTTTTCTGTAGGCCTCAAATGTAGTGGTTTTAAACAAAACCTTTGCTCCGCTTGTAGATATGGACAAATTAGGGTGGATGGAAGTTAGGTTCTTATACTCTTCTTTTTTTTTTTTTTTAAATCTATGATCTTTGATCTACTGTAGTACAGGCCAATAACTTACTTGAATAGCATTGCTATTTATATCCTTCTCATTTTGAAGAACGAGAAACTAGTCTATGAAAAGTGGCATCTATTTCATATCAGCTTTATTACTTGAGAAAACTGCAAGTATGGGATTAATGATTAAAAGTTCTTAGACTTTCTTAAATAGAAGAAGAAATCAATGCATAGATGGGCCAAGACTTCGTTGTGCTGAGTGAAACAAAATTGATGTAATCATTTCTGGGACAAAGGAAGAGTATTCAAAAGTTAGAACACAACTTAAGTCAATAAAGCCATAAAAATATGAATTTTGAACATTGATGGAGGAAGATGGAGTTTTTTTTCCTGTTCTGCTGCAGACATCATGCTACATCACCCAGTCTCCAAGATGTTCCCTCAGAGACACTCACAGGGACATGTGCTACCATCCCTACTGTAATTGGTGTAAAGGCTTTTGGACTTCTACACTCTTTCCCTGTGGATCAATGAAAGGGGGCCACATCGGGGAGAACAGATAGCTAAATAGACTTAATTCCTCAAACCTTATTTAAGCAGTCCTAAAGAAACATTCACAAGTGTATTTCTGCAAAACCAACTGCCTGCACGTTCATTAAATGATAGATTTATTTAATTTTACCAGAGGCCAATAAATGTGAAGGGTATATAAAGGAAAAACCTACCTCAAATGTGTATTTAGCCGTGTAGCTTGACTTCTGCATGTGAATCATCTGTAGTATTCCTGTATACCTGATTTGATTTAGCACCACTTCATCATCAAAGTGAAGAGATTTCTATAAAAGAGCAAGAAAATATGTCCAAAGTCACCCTCTGTCTACTACAACATGATAATCAAGAGCACAGATGGTGTTACCTTCTCAGTGTTGGAGCGAAAACAGAAAATGAAGAAAGGCTCTGCTTTCTCAATAGTCTCAATCAGTTTGTCGAGTGAGCTCTGTAGGATGCATAAATGCAATGAGCAAACATGGTTCTATAGGTTAAAACTTTAAAAATGATCCATATCACAGCAAAACTGCTTTTAGACACCGATGGATCAATGCGTCTTTGGTTATGATGAACTTTTATAGTATTATTTTTTACAAAGCTGTATGGAAGACAAACCTGAAACTGTGCACTAACTGTGGGGGGGTCTGCTGGCCTGTTGGGGGGGACGATGAGTTTTCTGGTTTTGTTGTGCTTTGTAAGGCCAACGATGTGATGAAGGGAACGCAAATTCATGAGAGTCTGTTTGAGGAGACATAAAATAGAATAATGAGGACCCACACTTTAAAACAGGAAGACCTCTGGAGGTCAACTCACAGTACCTTGCAGGAGACTTCACACCTGGTTCAACTGGACTTAGTCAAGTTAAACAAGAAAGTCTAATTACATCAGGGTTTTTTATTGCGATTTAATTTGACAGACCAACATCAATTAGCAAAACTGAAGAATGGAAAGATAACAGAAGTTTTCTATATTTTTTCAATAAATAAAAAAAAAAAGTTAATGTTTGCATTTATATTTAGCTGGCTTAATTTAGTATTTTGCAAAACCAGCTTCCAGTGGAGTTTATGGGTCTAGAAACTGAAACCCTTGCCCAAAGTAACTTAAGTTAATTGACACTGAATGGAGTGTAAAAAGAGGCATACAATTGTGTTATTTCACCAGCACCTTGTTTAACCATAAGATTTGTATTTTAGGGTGATGTCACATGTTAGTTTTGCACAAGACACAATTTTGCATGTAGGCAAAAAAGTTGCACTTGGGTCGTATCTGACAAGAGCAGCTTTTTTTTTTACATGCTTAACATGTCTGTCAAACTGGACTTCTGTTTTCAACAAACTCTTTTTTTGTCAGTCTTTCATAAAAGCCAGATTTATAGCAGATGCCACTAGCAAAAATCCTGTCAAGAAAGCCTCATTTCGGAGTAGTGAATATCTACAGCTACTGAGTAAAGTGGACAAAATATAAATGCATAAACACAAATCAGTCTTTTAAGTTTAAAAAACAAACAAACAAACAATAAAAAAAACTCCTCCTATTATACCCTACTTTGTGTTGTGTCAACTTAAAGACCCAATGCAATACAACAAAAGTAATGGATGTAACATTTGAATATGTGTCTAACTGGTATAAAGTATTTTTCAAAGCCCTGAAGTGTACATAAATACCTTTTTCTAATGAAACCACATTTTAGGAAACTCGTTACCTTCGGAATGAGCTGCTTCTGTCGACTACCTCTATTATTCCTGCAGAGACAGTGAGAAATGTTAAACTTGAAACAGTTGCAATAAAAAAAGAAAAAGCAAACATTGGAATTTTGTATTATTATTATTTTTTTTACTTTCTCTTTTCATAATTGACAAATATGTCCTCAAACAAATCAAGTGATTGTTCATCAGATCGATCAAAGGAGAAATCCAGAGTCTGAAGGCCACTAGAAAACACAATCAAAAGCTTTCATTAATTACTTTATATTGTTTTTATACAACAGTATCTTACATTTCACTTAAAAACAGTAATAATTACCCAGACAGTCTTTCAAGATAACTGCTGCGCCTTTTGATGCTAGTGAGCGACCTGCGTTGGCCCTGTCTCGCAGCAGCTAGCATAAAAAAATCAACAAGAAACTTCATTAATTTGAACATTGTGAAGATGTTGCAGATCAGAGGCTACAAGTAAATAAATGCTGCTTACTTTGTTCTGCCCGCTGTCTTAAGAGTTTTTTGAACACTGAGATGATGCGGATGGTTGCTCGGAGGATGCCCCATCTGAACAAAGCTCCAGGGCTGGATGCGACCAAATGATGCAGTAATGAGTGCTTGCTGCTCCGCAGGAGAGATGCGAATTCAGGACGCATGTGCTCGGTGTTTTTTTGTTGGAAATCCTAAAAACCCAAACAATCACATCAGAATTTGCAGTAAAAATCAGAAGTATTCATACATACATAACTTTTTTTCTTCATCACATGACAATAAATCAGACAGAACTTCTACTGTTTAAAGCAAGACTACAACTTATAGCCACTAGGGGAAGCAAGACTGAAAACTTCTTGGTTTAGTCCTGTTTAAAACAACTTGCAACCCTGTACTGCTCCAAAATTATACATTCTACCTTCTTGTTTTGGGTTCCCCCACCCAGACTTGATGTCTTTCACTACCATGTAGTGTCATCGTCGACTTGTAGACTTGCTCTGCGTCATTTGAGTGTCCTTAAGGATATAAACGGTACTACTAAAGGGAAAAGGCATTTCAGAAACCCATCAGCTAGGACGGGATAGTCAATTTTTAAATAGTTGGCAACAAAATGAAATTAAAATCTAAATTCTAATGGTTTATGTTAATATATTACAGTGTATTGCAAGGCATATTCAATAACCTTGTTAAAAAAATTAATGTTTCATGATAAAAAACATTTTTTGTATATTTTTCGTTCTAAAACTTCTCTCTCTTTTTTTTGGAGGTCCCCATGGTGTCCCCTAGAGGGGTCGAACCACCACTTTGGAAAGCTGCTCTAAATCACATGAATGATTTCAGTGATGGATCCAAATCTCTAAAGTTACATAGGATTCTTTTAGAGAAGGGCTGCCTGCACTGACCATAAATCAAATGTAAAATTACACCAATACTTGGATCAAAGTTTAGAGAGTATTCCTTTAAGGTAGAATCAGACTAATTATATTTCCTAGTAAGTTGATTGTTTATTAATAAAGCACTTGTCACAGAGTGGAGGCCGCTGACAGCCTTGGCTGGGCCTGGGACAGAATTGATGAGTTGTGGCCCATCAATCCACACCATGTATGTATTAATATACAAACTGTGAAGAAACTTTGTCAGCAGCATGATCCCTTGGAAGGAATGGCTGCTGGGGGTACTTCTCAATACCGCAGTGGATAATCGAAATATAGTAATAATAGGAAAAGATTTTATGAAACTTAAGAATAAAGCTCAAATTTCCTTGCATACATCTTTGAAAAATAATACTTGTGGCAAAAGATGTAGGGTTCTGATTCAGGCCCACCCTCCTGCCGTGGGCCCGGTACAACTGACCTGGTTGATGTTTGAATGAGATCAGGTTTTTCTGAAGGATCGTCAAAAACAGCAATCAATTTAGATAGACTATTAGGGTCATCATGCATTTGGAAGATGCATTATTTATATATATATATATATATATATATATATATATATAT